GGTAAGACTAGGTCAGATACCAATTTGGTCTTTGCATTGTTAAAACCATTATGAGCATGTTTATGTCTCCATAACAAGTTCCATCACGAGCTCTTTGAAATAAATACTTTGATTCAATGGCTTACCTAATCGCTGCATATGGAGCAGACGTGTAGCATCAACCAATTCACAGATACATGTTTGTCTCCAATAGAGCAACTGCATCTCTAATTTTGTTAGCAGTGGATATTTGTACACTGCACAAGGTATTAAAGTTATTTAATGTTATTACATACTGGACACAGATTCTGAATTTGGATGATGTAATCATAGTTAAACAATCATATTAAGATGAAGTAAAACACTTTGATCTCCTTTCAAACACCAGGCTTGACGACACAGGTCATTGTTTGTCATGGAGTGAAATGGTAAAAAAATTATTGTGGAAAATGGCTTTGGAATGTGTGGATGAGTCAGAAAACAGATGGAAATTTTCTCAGGACATTTAGTGGCATAGCAACATTTCAGAAGATAACGTTTAGTCGAGAAAGTACAAAAATTTGAAAAAGAAAAAACACCTAGGAGCAATAAATTTTGAGTAAAAACGTATTTACCCGATTTCGAGTAATTAGCCACAATGTGCATATTGAAATGGGTAGACATGCCAAAGGCAACCCAAAGCCAGTTGAAGAAAGAATACGTCAAAATTTCAATCTTGAAACCGTTGGGGATGAACAACACATTTTAATAACACCAGATAGATAAATGAACTTTTCAGGAAAGCTCGAAGTAAAACCTCTTGTTTGAAATTCACATACTGCAAATGAATAACACTAGCTGGGCAGGGATCATGTCATTAGCACAGTTTCTTCATCACTCCTTTGAAAAAAGAAAGAGTGCGGCATCTCTCGCTTAGTAATGCAAGGAAAACTGAATGATTTCTATATTGCAACTCATTGTGAAGTGTTTTTAGTTTTGTGTACTGTATAAGCACATGTAGTACAGTCACAGGGCAATCTTTTCTATATTTATTAGAATGTCAGTGTACCATCTCAATGCGCTGTGAGATGAGGCCAGGATATAAGTACGAATGTCACCTGCACAAAATCACGGGCGGATTAAGGCCGTCTTCTTTGTCTTCCAGAAGACTGTCAGATTTTAAAGTTTACATTGATAGGTATCTACGTTTTCTGTTGGAAGACGTCAAAATTGGAGGATGGAACAGCAAAGATAATTTGGAAAACTGTCAGAAAATAGCTCTGAATCCGCCCCTCCAAAATAATGGGAAGCGAACTATGGTTCATAGCGGACCTCCATTCCTGTTACACCGTCATATCCACCCTCCAAAATAATTTTTCAGAGATTGTTACAAAAAAAAAATTTAAAAAAATTAATCGCTAATCTTTGAATGTCGGAACAGATTCATAAACCGTTGGAAAGTATGGGGAAATTTATCGTTTAACCCAGGAGAATCCGATTATGGCACTTTTCCAAACAAAAAGAAGAGTTGTGATCCTATTAATTTTCAGCCTCCCCCCCCCTCCCTTCCAGTATCATCTGATAGGCAATTACACGTAATCATGTCAATTGCCTGAACTAATTTAGCGGTCATATCGCATGCTTGCCTGCGTTGTCAGTCACATTACTATGTTAACTCTTCATTGATAGGCGCTGGCCTTATCATCTGGGTGATTTGTTGCAGAAAAATCATGACGACTACTGGTGTTTACCTGTACAAGACACTGTGGAAGGACTTTATTGTACAATCACCCAGTGCAACCTAGCACAAATTTCAATGCAAATACATTGTCATAAATACTCGTGATTGTTTAACTATACGCGACCATAATTATGGACTAAGTCACTGAGATTGCAATCCAGTTGGGTTACGTTAGATAGTCAGTGCATGTTTGGATTAGGAAGAACCCGTATGTTCTAAATGGAGCCCCATAAACACGTTGAATCCCGCGTATTGTACGTTTAAGACCAGCCTATTTTTTTTGGGGGGGGGGGTTCCACTGGAATGCGCTTACGGGTGTGTTAATTACTTGGACAATTTTATGTACTTACCAACCTTTAGGAGCAAAACAAAAACATTCGTACATGTACCTACGCACAAAAGCTACGGAGTACATATAACATGCGTATATGGCTTACTTCTCGCTTTGGTCGCTATATGCTCTACCAGCTGTCTCTGTGTCTCCATTTGGTGATCGTTCCTTAAATATGACCCATCACTTGACTTGAAACTGTGAAAGTCGTTAATCGTCACTCCGGTGTCGGACAGTTTTGCCGACAAGAAGTGAGCCGCCGATTCCCAGCTTTCTTCGGCCAATGTTAAGATGGCAGTGTATCTCCAGTTCCATAACCTAAAGGTCCGTATAAGAATATTATGGACATTAATGAGTGGTCCCGCAATATTACTCACAGTATTGTAATTTCGTCGATCTGAAAGGCGGCGGGAATTGCAGCCCCAAGTCACATAGGGAGTGTCCCATTCTGACGCAAGGAGTCCAACGGGAACGCAAACGTCATCACACTCGCCGCCGATGAAGACATTAACTCCAATGTCCTCCATTGACAATGCTGCAGAAATCCCTCCTCTTGAGGTACATTTTGTATCTCTCCAAGAGTATGTCAGATTTCGATCTCCCAGCAGAAACTTGGCCTTGTTTATTTCATTGACTGCGACTACGACTGCTCCTGCCTGTTGTGTGCCTTTTTCACCCTTACCAGTGAATGGAATTAAACCCCCAATTCGAATGTTACCACTGTTTGAAGTGTCATTTCCTAAATCACTGTCGTAATTTGGCCACACTGCAACGGCCAATGTGCAGCTCGTCACCATTAAGGCAAATATTGACACATGCATTTGTCTTTCACTTACAGAAAACTAAAAAGTTCTTGAGTTTTTTTTTCGGTAATTAATGTCCACAGCAAACCACAAAGGTGTGTGTTGAAATACACAGTATATCGGGTTTTATACGCAATTGTTTTTTTGCATCAAATCATCCGATTAATATGCTATATATTAATTCTTCCTGGAATCAGCTCATAACCTAGTTCACGGTTTTCCCGATCATGGTGCACGCATCACACGTTTTTCTCAGAAAACATATTACTACCCTTATTTATTTGACAGCATGCAATTGTTCTGTCCAATAGATACGCACTGTCTGCTGCGCGACCTTAATAAGCTGACTTTAATAATGCGTAACAAGGGCTCATAAAGCAAGTCAACGTTACTTTTATTGGTATAGTTCAGTTCTTGCATGTGCACATTTTAAATGTGACCTTTCCTTGATTCCTTTTGCTACATCTATAATATTCTCCTACAGTCCCATCAGAGAAATTAATAACAGCTAATGTCTCCCATTCATTGCTTTTACTGATGATTTGATTCCAATTCTGAGTTTGACCTTTTGTTCTGCTTTCTTGAACCAAGCATCACAGTCACAGTGAGATTTCTACAAGAAATAAGTATCTTTAATTCAATTAGTGTATAATCAAATCCTTGCCAACGTCTAACTGCCAGCCCACGTTTCCTGGATCTTTCTTGTTCGCGACAAAGTGAAAGTGCAACGGGACTGTTTTAGAGTAAAATACGGTGGGTCATAGGCAATTAAATTTGTTATGGGTCTTCCCTGGCACATGTGTAACTCATTCCAAATAAAACTTAAACCCTTTCCCTGAGTTTGAAGGTCTTAAGTGATTCAGTTACCGTATGGACTTGTCTGTCTCTTTTCCTCAGATATTACTGGTTAAGTTCTCTTCAACTATCTCTGAAACCATAAGTCATCCCTCACTACCCTCTTTCTCAATTTCACGTATAACTCCCACCCAAAAACATCTACAGCTATATTTTTTCAAACGCTTTTGACAATTTCCACCATCTCTAATACGTCCTCTTTAACGGTCTGTCTGTGAAGATGAATCCCTGGTAAGTTATACACATCGTTACAAAGCAAAATGAATTCGAACAGCCAGTAGCTCACTTAAATTAAATTAATGAGGCATATCTGTGTTGTTACCTTGCCACTGTGGCATTTAAAGTGTGTGTGTTGGTAATTTAGAGTCCAGACTCCTTAGTGAAAATTTACACTGAGACCCGTCCCTGCTTGATAACGTATGTGACAATAAGCCAAGCAATATCTACTGAAAAAAAATACCGCTGATATATTATATAACTGTGTGCTTTATTCCAGAAGTCTGGCTTAATTTACCTAGCTTAAAGAAATGGTAATAGAGATCTTGCATGGATATGAGATGTGATATTAAGGCAATATCAACTTCGTTATGTTATGTTTGTTACCCGCATTCTATCTGTTTGAGGGGGGGGGTAAACGATTTCATGGTCTATTATGTTTTTCAGTTCATATTACAGATAACATCGGCGAACTGATAACAGATCAGCTTATCTGAAATGTTGAGTAGTCTTAGTTTATTGACAACGCAGTGACAACGCACATTAAGTGCCGCTTTTTTCTTCAATATCATCCAAAAGGCGTCCAACACGAACGGCCTGCATATTGTCCTCTTATACTTTATAGAAGGGTGATCCGAGTACACATTATATTTTCAACAGTTACGTTTTCATAAAAGAAATAAAGAAAGAAATAGACTGTTAAGCCGACTTAAGGTTAGACATACAGGGTGTCACAGAAAAGAGTTCAACAGGTTATGATAATTTGCTAGTCAAGTAGCTGATCTAGTTACTGGATACACTTTCTGTTTTGTTTTGAATGTCTACATGGTTTAATAATGGGCGCAGGAAATGGAGACGCGGACGATATGTTTATCTATCACTTGGTGACTGACTCTCATATCCTTTGTGCAATAATGGAAAAGGGATTAAATTTACAAGGAGTGGCACGATATATTTGCAATTGTTTCAGTTAAGGGTGAAGAAAAGGAGGGGGCAGGAACATCTCGTTTACGGGCCGAGATATACCAACCAATTTAGCGATATGTATCCTTTCTCAATCATATTACAATAAAATAATGATAGGAAAACGATAACCGTTATATAAAATAAGCATTTTATTGATATGCAACATGTTGGTATATCTTGCTTGGTTAAGAAGATAACCCCCATCGTCTTCATCCTTAATGTATTGATAAAAGTGTTAGTCAGAGATATAGAGATGGAAGACAACAGTGGTGAGTGACGCCGAGTGTTGAATAAAATACAGTTCAAAATGCTTTGCACTTTTAACAAGTTTAATTTTTTACAGGCTTGAATATGTCTCGCATTTTCCAATGCTCAGATGTGTAGATATGTACTAATATATGTGTTACCTTCAACACAGATTAGAATATATGTGAGTATAATTGCTACACAGTATTGTCAGGTCAAAGCCCCTTCTCAAACAAATGTGCCAATAAAGATAATCGATACACATATGGCACTCAATATCAGGTAGAGAAAACAAGCGTAAGATTACGTTTTTATTAGTATATCGTGGACAGCGTGAACATGGACCAGTGACGCTGGACTTGCACAGAGAACCACGAGCGTTTTCTGGAAATTTATAGCAGCTTCATTTCCATGTAGTGTCATTTTGTAATCATCAATTCAAATTAAATAACTGAAATTCTTAATTAAATCGTTTGTTTTTTGATTATTTTATAAATCTCTGACAATGAAATTAGAAACATATATTAGTTGTAGACCGCTCATGTCCTTGTTTATCAGCAATTATGTTGTAATATGGAGATTGTCTTTCGACCTTTTCATATAGTGCTGGAACATTGTAAAACTCAAGGATGCTGGAACAATACGGAACATGAACACGCCCGGCGCTGGCTAGTTCAGTGTGACGTAGGACCTCCTGTGAAGTTTTTTATAACCGAGATAGCCGACTATTCCTCCCAGAACGACACATGCTCCCACAACACCCACCACAATACCGAGTACGTTTGCTTCTGGAATGGAAAAATATAGCAAATATATGACAAAATCCAGGGATTATCTTTATGTAGTACGTTTGTGAACATTACAGTTATACTCAATTTCGACAGTTTTTACTCTATTTTGTTAAACTTATTTCAATCAATAAACCGATTAATTTATGTGTAATTTAAGTAGCCTAAAGTTAGTACATCGAGAAAAGAATGCAATGGTTTTACATCAATAACTGCGCTTACTGTGATATCGATATTGTAACAGTAAAAATAGTGCCCACTATATCCACATGTATGTAAAATGTAAAATAACAAGAACATAAAAAATTAAATATAATGTTTAATTGTAACGATGTCTATATCGTACAAATTAAAGAAAAGATTCCGTTACCTTGTCCCGACTCTACACGGTGCGAGGCGGTCGGGGGCGTGTCTACGTCACCATGGTTACGCGGTGTCACGTGGGATTCAGTCGTACCCTCGTGCTCACCTGACAAAACGTGGTATATCTTTGGTTGGCCGTTCTGTATATTAATGCTCACTTTGCCTCCGTTTGCTGTGATCTTATCACTCGTGTCCAGGATGTTTTGGAGAGCTGGATAACGATATTAACGTACGCAGAATGTTATTCAGTAGAATGTTTATAAAGAGATCATTGTGTTCATTACTTTTACTTGATCGTGGTTAATAAAAAGTGATTTATGGTTTGGTAGGGACTGAATGATTTGCTTTAAAAAGTCATTTCTACACATGGTTCTTATTGTGATTCCCTTCATTCCTCTTTTATGCTACGTATATTCTAGATACATTTCGTGAGTGAACTTCCTATCAGGCTTTTTATGTGGATATCCTTCTAAATATCCATAATAAGAAATGAATTTCATTTCATCTGTCCTTAAAGGTTTCAATCGCAGTTATCACTTACTGGTTCCGTCGTGATACGGGAGGTCTCCAATATCTCGTTGCTCAGTCGATCCTGATCCTTGGTTGGAAACACAGACAAGGACCTGTATAAATGACAAAAACGCAATCATTTGTCAACCGAGATTGTTCAAAGGGCAGTAAGATCTTTGCGGCGTCACCGTTAAAGATGGATTTATGTAATTTGATCGTCCACTTAAGTCAGTGACATTTATGTGGTCTCACCTAAAGTGGTATTTATGTTATTTTGTTGTTCACTAAATTTGGTAAAATTGATTCCAATTTTAAATACTAATATTACCGAGAATGTATTATGCGTGATCTCCAGACATTTAAGGGTAGAAGTTGCGTTTTAAAACTGTTTTCGGACAGCAGTTATGACTAAAACGATTTCAAATTAAACTGCTACATACAGTGTATAAGAAACGATGAACTGAATTGGTCCCTATCACTAATGGCAATTTACTTGGTCTCATTAGAAGTTGCATGTCAAATTTCTCAATTTTTTTTAAATAATGCTAATAGAACCTGTGAATACAAACAGAAATTCTGGGAATCAAGTGGAGAAACTATTTCGAAACACGTGAAAAAAAATGTGCATAGGTACTGTGAATATAATAATGTGAGTTTAAGGGTCTTCTTACGGCCAACGTGTATTTCTAAATAGCCGTCATTTTAAATGACCACATAACCTTCGTATAAACTTGGACAAACACGAGTGCTATTTTCGTAAGTGCATGCCAAATGCAATAAGTGTAGATGCCAATGTTTTCAATATATAACAGGTTCTTTTCAAATAAAATTTTTACTTAAAAATGGAAACGGTGAGACTGACAAGGTGACCGTTGTATGATTTTCTAATATTCCTGACTCACTGATTCCCCATTTCCTCTGGTGAAGGCATAAAAGCTGTCATCCCTCCAACGTTCGTTCTGAGCCGAGTCGTAAAATGCGCTACCCAGTTTATTTCTGAACGCGTTCACCTGGGCGATAAACTGAAAGAAAATGGTTAACGTTTCTCATTGTAGTGTTAATTTAACACATCACACATCGAGAGAATTATATAATTAACAACTGACTGATGCCCTGTACATACCCTTAATATTGATTTATTTATTTATTTTTTATTTTTGAAAACGATTAATGACATATACAGTGTAATTGAGGGTTAAGGCTTTGATAGACATAATAACATACATATAAATGCAATTTTGTAAAATTGGAATTTCTTCATGTCATTATATTTTAACCTTAGCAAAAAAGACCGGCAAAAACAATGGGACTCTCTCATCCTGGCATTCACCTGGTACATTAAATGGTTGGTGTTGTAATTTGGCCACAGGGACTCCCTGTTATACGGATCGTTACCCCCCGCATACGCCTGCTCTGTGCCATAATACACAATAGGGATCCACTGAAATGAATACATATAATGGATACTATTGCTACTATCAGAAGTCATGAATTTATTTTCATTAACCTGATTGTACAATGACGGCATCACCATAAAATAATATTAACCGATTTTTGAATAATCAGAAAAATAGGAAAAAATGTTATCAATCTGACGACAAAAATGTCGGATGCCGTCTGTGCTTGGGTCGATACCACTTTTGTAACAACTAGCTGCAGAAAAATATATCAACTGCAGCCAAAGTCCACAGTGTATTATTGTTTTATGAACAGCGGAATAAAGTGGCCACGTGTAACTTACTCGTGCCATCAGCGTGTATGCCAGAGCGTTCTTCAGGCTGGTCCAGTCTTTATTGATGCTAAGGAAACGAGGATTGTCATGATTGTCCACGAAACCGCCTAGTACTGTCATATCTTTGAACTTCGCAGCCTAGAAGGAAGTTGTTTAAAGGCATGTATACGCTACAGATAAATGAATGTGACAAGAATTAATAAGAATTGATTTCTAAGATTTGATTTCCCTTTGACACCAACATAAATAAATCAATAAATAAAAAGATAAATAATAAAACAAATAATAATAATAAAAATTTAGCAATCAATAGGTCTTTACACTATTTGTTTTAAAGGTTTTGGATAGCTTGTTCCTGCTTTTCTACCAGTGATTTATTACATATTGAAACTCGGAGAAAACATGAAAATCCCTTTCAAATATACGAAGATAGTACTTTTAATGAGCAAATTTCATTAAGAAAAGCAAACCAAAAGTGAAAGGAATTATATTTATTTATTTATTTATTTATTTTGGCATACCACATAAGCCTACCTCTTCTCTCAGCCTGTCCCCAATGGTCCTCATTCCTGCAGATTTCTGCTGGAACACATTTCTTAGAGTCCAGTACATGGGGTAATTGAGGACGGAGGTCAAGGGACCCTGGAAGGGGGAGTCGTAGTCGGGGTCACCGTTGTCAACTTCACCGATTTGGAAGACCCCCGACGACTGACCAAACTCGTTCCAAAACTGTGGTTTGACCTGAAAGAAGCAGCTAAATTTATGGTAAGTTTCTTTTTGTGTGGTTATTTGTGGTTTTACGTTGGAAAAATTGCTTTATTTTCTTTGAGAAAACTGCATAGTGAAACTGAATGAATGAGCGAAAAGGACTACATGCATCTCAGCTTTGAAAAAGTAAAGTATGCAGCCATTTCGTGCTGATATCAAAGCATATGCATATAATCACGTAGCTATTTTAGTATAAAATCACCCCACCCCACCCCGAGAACAATGAAACGTTATTAAAATGATTGGTGTTTTCTTCAACACCATTGTAAACATACACTTATAATGACGCACAACAAATGATTACACGGGTAATGACGCCACCCAGATATTTGAAAAGATGACTCTACTTATCCAACTGCGATATGACGTCACATACTTCCGGAATTGTGTCAATCCTAATTCCATCGAATCCGTATGTCTGTACTAAGTTGTGGATCCAGGCTTTTAGGGTTTCTCTGACGTAGGAGTTGTCCTGGTTTAAATCTGGTAGCTCCGCCAACCGACAATATTCGACCTGAGTAATATTTTTTACGTGACAACGGATTTTGTTTATTTGGCTATATAGTATTTGGGAAAATTGTTTTTTCCCTAGAATTAAAACAAATTTCTCTCTTTGAGTTACAATTTGTCAAGCGACCTTATCACACAATTTTCTGACAAAGCAAACTTTAAAATAAAATGAAAAGTCCCCTTCTCATAGTGGACATATTCTCGGTGAGTTGTCAAATCCGTTATATTATGACTGATTTATACTATACCAACATTTTAAATATATAGAAAGTATAAAATACTTACCTCATGGGCGTCACCCCAATTCTTAATATCACAGTAATTATGGTAGTGTTCCGCTCTGTTGAACGGCCACAGCGAAGAGAAGTCGGTCTCTTGCTGCATGGAGCAGCCGGGGCAGCCTGGGGGGTACCCCATATGATTGCCAACCCTGAAATATTAGAGAACGTTGACATAGTATGCTGTTTCTAACTCCTTAAATGTTCTGTTTTGTGCTTACTTTTCGAAACTAAAGAAGTTTTTTTATTTTTCTTGTCTTCTTTTACCAAAGAATTCAAGGCGATCATGTATTTGGACTTCATCAGCTGTTCTGAATTGATCTGATTATTTATTTATATATTTATATATTCAATAATTTCGTGTATGGTCAAAATCTCAGCAAAATCATACGTGCCTACCAGGAAAGCTTTAGTCGATATAAACAATGCATTCTATATGGTAAAAAAGCAAGTTAAAGCAAGGCTTACACGTCTACCATGACCCAAATACCACGTGCATGACAGGCCGAAACCAAGTCTTTCAGGTCTTGTGGAGAACCAAACTTGGGGTTGATGTTACTGATGTTCTTAGCCCAGTATCCATGGTAACCGCCTGGGGTATTCTCAACGACGGGAGATATCCAGATGGCATTCACACCTGAAATGTTTTGGAAATGTGAAACGTTTGTCGCATTTGATTCTACTTCTAATTTAGTCGCCCATTCTTTGGACCTCGCCCAGTCTTCACAGGCTGCACAATACTTTATAAGTATTTTCCTTCCAACTAAACTTTTTTTTTCTTGTTTGAAGCACGATGTTGCCTTACTTGAGTTCCGGTTAATAATACAGTAGGCCTACTCCACCAGAATACAGGAACTATCGGTCTCAAACAGAAGGTTTCAAACTTACTTGTAAAAAAAATGAAACTTAATACAACTGTACTTGTACTGGATATTGAGACCAACTTTAGGGCAGTTGCCTCAGTGTGTGTGTGTGTGTGTGAGAGAGAGAGAGAGAGAGAGAGAGAGAGAGAGATGCACCAGTATAGACTTCAACAGAGAATGTGTTTGGTTGTTCTTCGCTCTCCAACCGCAATTAACGCAACCACAACAGCACACAAAAGCATTACTGTTTAAACAACTATCTATCCATACCTAAGCCTTGTATGTAGTCCAATTTCTTGATTACTCCCTGAAAGGTGCCCCCGCAATAGTCTCGCAGGTTGCCACAAGAACCACCAGCACTAGGGTTGTGGAATCGGTCCGTGAGGAGCTGTGAGAAAATCCCCATTCAATGTATTAATGTGAATGCGCATTCCTACGGCGCTCGTATATAACAGTAACCAGTGGTAACCTGGCTTTTTAAGATTCTCCTCTTACATGAATTCTAATTTATCATTTAGGTTTTATGACATTATACAATTTACAATTATATTTACATTAAGCGAAAGATAATCATCCTGGTGTTATGCAAATAGATTTTTTAAAATCGAATTTTTGGAAAACTTATACCCTGCAGGACTAGTGCATTTTTTAATACATAAATAGGCACATTTACTGACTTTTGGGGCATATTTAAATGTTGGTGTCAAGTAATTTTATATTCAGATCGCGTTCAGAACAGTTTATCAACACAGTTTAAACAAAGGGCTAACTCCCCGTAAGTAGGCACCTCGTTAGCAAAACATAGCAATACGAAGCTTGATTCAGGCAATAATGCCAATATGATAAGCTAAGTACCACGATTCATAGATATTTTATCACCTCATTATACCTGTCATTTAACTGAGCGATACTAAGGACTTTGGGGAGAGGGTTTAGGGACGCAATGAATCTTTTGTTAAAACCATAATGAGCGCACCATTAGCTAGTACTGGGAGGTTATCACTCTGATGTCTCCAAGACTATCGCGAGATTTGTGTACAACAGCATCCATATCAGTATTCGGATATACAGTTATGGGACTGTCTCGTTTGATTTGCAGATAAATTAGCTTTCTGTTAACTGTATGCACATTGTACACATGTGCATGTGCAAGTTATCAGAAATCTGCTAGGTTGCAGTAATAATAAGATAACGCAACTTACGAAACTTTTTGATAATAAATCAGCTGACTTGAAATGCGACATGCTTGTCTTGGGAAGTGTACATTGTACACGACTATCTTTTTATCAAGCTCTAGTGTAAGGTACAGCAGAGGTCTGGACAGTATTTTCTGATGAGTTTGTGGGAAATACTTAACGGTAATTAGCTGTTTCAAGATAGAGATGGGAGTCTTTTAATAAACGTCTTCAGAGTTGTTTACCCTTCCATAGAGCGCCATCTTCATTTCAGTCTTCTAAAGACATGTTTTATATTTACATGTACATATACATAAAACCCCAAGAGAAAAAATATTTTAACCCACGAATTTGAGCCATCACATTCCTACGATTTAGTAATAAATATTAATCAAAATTAATAAAAGTAAAAATGGCTGCTTGCTTAAACTTCTGTGTATAATTTTACCGATAGAAATGATAGAAATGTTCCCTTACCGATAGAAATGTTTATTTGCAAAGGATATTTGATTGATATTCCAGTGAATGCACATAGGCCTACAGCAAAGGCAAAGGTCTAAGGTAAGGTTAGTCTGGGATCATACGGCAAAAGGGACACTTTCTCTCATTGTAACGCTCATACAGATAAAAACAGAGAAGAAATATATTTTATTGGGAAATGTTAAATAAATGAGAAAATGAATATCGAATAAAAAAAAACAAAAACAAAAAACAGTCCCTTACCTGATATATAACCCGCGATTTCCACTCATCTGCAGACTTAGCATCCGAGATAGCTAGAAGGGAGGCAAGAACCGCGAACAAGACTGCATGTATCATTTTATACATTTCTGTTATAAAGAAGTCGACCAAACCAGGCTTTTGTAGTTTAGTTTCCTTTTTAATACTCCTCGTTCTAAATATACCGAGTTCTATCGGAAGACAGACATGTGCAACGTTATCGAGTAGTCTTGTGACTTGGTGTAGTGGGTCGTTGGATATATGTAAAAGTGATATGAAATTTATCATACATGTTGCCCTTCTAACAGTTATCTACTAGATAACATGGACAGACATGATTTCTGATGAGATGTTATTAGACTGAAGTCCGAGGAAAAGATAGCGACAGCGTTGTGTGTGTGTGTGTGAGAGAGAGAGAGAGAGAGAGAGAGAGAGCGAGAGAGAGAATCCATAAACAAAAAAGCTCATAAAAAGGCAGAAAGTGATATAACGATTACCACAAAGCCGTTATTACGCGCTACGACACTGTGCTAAAATATATCATTGATATATACATACTAGTACTTGAATTAAATCGGTTATCAAGTATTTGACCCATTTCTGTCATAGCTGATCGCATTGTTTTTATACTCATTAGATATGAATGTTTACTGCACTTTAAACAATAGCACTTAAAACAGTAACACAGTTCGCGATCTACTACAGCGCCAATTAAACAAATTTCATCAAAGAAATCAAACATTAACGAAAGTAGCCATGCATTCTACAAATGGGCTTACTATAAAACATTCTTGAAACTATATATTAAATGATGTCGACTGGCCACAGCTTGGAGCGATCGGAACACCATTTTCCTCATTATCATTTTATTTCAGGGGCAGATCCAGGATTATTTGAAGGGGGGCTCCGCGGATACGAAGCCGACCCTCCCCCTCCCTTGGGGTTCGGGGCCCGCTAAAGGGACCGGGAATTTTTATTTTAGACGGCGAACGGTGCCACTTGTACGGTTGGAAACTCTGATTCAGCCATTCAAAATTCTAATTTCATGAGGGGTCCATTGATGCGATTTTTTCAGAAATCGATGGGGGGGGGGGGGGGGGGGGTCAGGACCCCCTGACACCTCCCCTAAATCTGCCACTTTATTTTCATTACCACTGATGCACATATTTCTATCTCTAGAACATTAACACCCATAGGATGTTTAATTACTCATCGCTAGACTTACAATGAATAATTACTCAAGGCTGATTTCATGTTTAGTAACGATTACGGTTATACTAATATAATTTTAAATAAAAGAGAAAGAAGCTGATGAATCCCATTACGATAACTTGTATGCGCGCTGTGTGCCTTTGAAATCTAGCATTGTACCTCAAACCTCAACCTTCAACCCTCGGGGGTCGCGTCGCACAACTTTCCCATACGAAACTCAGCAAATTTCAAATTTGACGTTGGACGATAAAAGTCAGTGGTGAACAATGGCAGAGTCGTTCAGGCTTGATTGCCTGCGTCTTCGCGGGGAGATACGGCGGACAGACGCTGACACCGTGTCTATTGTTCTTCCGTCGTTCATTCTGGGGCAGGACATCCAAATTTAGACAGGTGGTTGCGCACACCCCTCGGGGTAACAAGCAATATTGTTGTTGAACAAAGGCGAATGTTTTACGATCGAGTTGGTGAAGTAGGGAAAAGTCACAGAATTAAGCGGGAGAGCGGGAAGTTAACTCTTATCGCTGTCGTTACCACTAACCATCGAGAATTGCTGAGAGATATTTTGTCAACTTCTTGACTTCATTGCACCAGTAACTTGGTTGAATCATTCGGGAAAATCTCTATATTGTGAGGACAGCTTAAGCACTTGAAGTGTCACTTACATATCCTCTTGAGGTAAAGATCGCACTGGCATCACGTATTACCGAAATAGTGAAATTTTCGTCAGTGAGAGAGAGAGAGAGAACTTATTGCCCAGGTTCACTGTGACTCAGGTCTTGCCTAGCTGTAATCCTTTACATGGAGTTTCAGTCTGGATTTTAACGCAGGTGTCACGCTTACGGATCTAACTTTGGAACAGATAATAACATACAAGACTTTCTTCAAACGTTGTGGGAATTTTCGAGCCGTTATAAGTGCATATACTTCACAAAGACGTAGTCCAATCGTACAAGAGGGTTACAAACAAAAATCAAGAAGGAAAACCAAACGGCTCGCTTCTGATAGTACTACTGTGCGTGCGAATGCTACAAGTTATTTTGTACTCTATTATCGAAGGACTGATGATTAACTTGGCCATGCACTCCTATTTATTTGTGTCTTTCGTTTGCGCAATCCTTTCAAATGGTAGGTAATTTTCATAATTATCATTGATATTATTCATCAATCTTTTAATTTAAATATTAAGTAAGATATATAGAAATGTAAATTGTCTGCGAATAACTTTGCAGAATGTATCAAACAGCCGACTCCCCTCTCCGGAAAAATAGGAGAAAAATAGGAGAAAAAAAGATTTTTAAAAACACCTACTACACGAATGACATCAGCATAATTATAAACGACATGCAAATTTAGTGTCTGGTTATCTGTTTCATCTTCTTATTAAAAAATAAATTGATTAATCAAATATTTATTCTTGTGTAAATGTTATAAAAAACGTCCACGGAACGGTAACTGTTGTATATATATATAAGCGCGGGTGACAGAGGTTATATTGAAACTGCACGGTTTCCCCAGTCTAAATCATTAAATTTACAATGATAATCTTGATAGAAAGTCAAAACCGGCCATGGATGCATTCTCGAGATGTTATTTTTTCCTTAATCCTTCCAGTCGACGCAGAGTGCGTCCCAAAAGTAACAGTGTTCACAACCGCCCCGGGTGAGATCAATTTTAACGATGAACCTCAAAGCACACCCCTGGGGCAGGGACAAGTTGACGGGGGAGGTACCACCCCCGGGTGCGACAGAGAGTGGATACTAATACCCCCTAAGGACCGCTACGTCGCCGTCACCGTGGTTAGCGTTTATAACATTACCTGTGGGGACCTATTATACATTTCCTCACACCTTTCCGACACCCGAAGCCCAGGTTGGAGCGTCTGTGATTTTCGCGGGGGAAATACGCCGAGATTGTTCGATCAGCCGAGATATCTGGCATCCCATCGTGAAGAAAAGATTATCATCCAGTACCGAAGAGGTTCATCAAATTTCAGTGGAGGTCGGGGATTTGAGATTGTGTACGATTTTAAAGGTAAGTCATATTTATTTTATCGTGAAGGGAGATTAATTTATTGATTGATTAATTGTATTAATTAATCAGTTCATTTTGCAACCCATTATGATTTAATGTGTTATTCTTCCCCTCGTCATTCTTTTTTTAATCAAGACCTTTCTTCATTTTTATTTATCGGGAAAAATTAGGCGAAAGCGAAGTAATCAATATTATGTTGATATTGCAGGAGTATCGAGGTTCTTGGTTTATCAATTATACAATTAACTGATATATTAGTTGATCAATTAATTAATTTCAACGCAGGTGCTTAGAGTTTGAAGTGTCTACAGTCAGTTTCAGGTGTTTCACAACTAGTCACTGCGTGAGAAAAAAAACAAGAGTGAACAATAGATAACTCGGAGCAACAAAATAATAAATTTCCCCTTTAATTATCTACATTGAAGGTTGAAATGGACTCGCACCTTCAGGGAAAATATAACCCAATCATTTTAGTGTTTTTTCCATAGGAATATATGCTGCGGTTTAAATGATTTAAAATTCAAAACTTAATAAAGCGCGTAAGATTTTGCCTTATGCGGAGGTAGATAAGAATTGACATAATCCTTCCATTTATTGAACATTTCGTATATGTTGCCCTCTCTAGTGTTTTACGGTCGAGAAAGAGAGAGAGAGAGGAAGCAATTTTCTCATTCCCTTTGTCTCACATTTTCAGTTACCTATAGGGACCTTAAAGCAAAACTGAAAGAAACAACTTTCTTTTCTTGCGTATCTTTGAAAAATACGCCGGCGGGTGTTTTGACTTTTGCCCTGCGTGACAATATTCATACGGATATGTGCAGGTGTGCAAGTCAGCCTCCAAGGGACAAACTGTCGTCTGCTTATGAATCATACCTTGGCTGATTTAACGACTTCTTCTAATTTTTGAAGTTTTTGTCTTAGATGAAGAATTGACGCCAAAAAATAGATATAAACACGGTTATGATTTTGCGCGCTATTGGAAAAAAATTTATTAAGTCCATTTAAAAGTAATAGAAACTTTATTGGAATAATATTCTGTAAATTAGTTAGCTTTTACATTGTTCAGCTTAATTAATTCATTTTTAATCTCTTTCACCTAAGAGTAAAAACATTTCAATATACAACATATCATGTTACTCGTATGATATGTTGTATGATATACAACATATCATACAGTAACATGTTTACCTTTAAATTTATATTTAATATTTGAATGTGATCAAGTGATCTTTATTTGCTCAAGGAGGTGTCCTTGATTTGCCGAAGGCTATAATGCACTTAATTGCTACCAGTAATGTGAATATTTAACTGATACGTGAGAGCGGTGGTGTCTTTGTATAAAATACGCACCCAGGAATTTCCATAAAACTCTACACAGAACTGTTAAAAGTAAAAAAAAAAAAAAAAAAAAAACACACACACACACACATACACACACACACACACCAAGTATAAAAGTTGAAAAAGGATCAGTTTTAATGCAAATACCATAAAAGAGTAGTTAGAACAAATGTTGAGGAGTGTCGATGTCGGACTATGACACCGCCGTCGGTTCTCTTGTCAATTGTTCATTTTTTTTTTTTTTTGCCCTACATGTATATGCGGTTGTAGGTGTCACATATAACATTATAATATACGTGTACGTAACCTAAAAGCGCTCTCTGACCTCAGGTAGTAGTCTATTACAAAATCAGTGTATTCTTTAATTTTGTATACTATTTTAGAGGCCCCTCATACCGTGTATCAGATGGTAGATTTTTAGTGAGATTTAGTATCATAATTACAGCTGGACATGCATTATATTTCAGAACCCGGCTGCAATGGCCAGGCAGTCTTAACAGGCTCTCCCTCGTGGCTCGCCACGCACCCAGGGGCAGGGGCATGGGCGGTTGAAGCTGACCTTCACTGCGCATGGCAGATAGTGGCGCCCCCTGACCAGTTCGTTTCCATACACTCTCACAATGTCTGGCTCCACTGTTCGTCGAAATGGCAAACCCTTGAAGTCTACGACGCGCCAAAAGAATTGTCGTCTGCTTTGATGGCAAGGGTAATGAGTTAAAGTTTCTGTAAATTTAAATATGTAGCCTAAATCTTTTGTTAAAAGTGAACAGTCGACTTTAAGGTTTTGTGCCATCTTGAGTGAGAAAATACTGGCACAGATGTGTTACACCAAAATTATTTTTGTTTCAATAATGGAGAAGCTCCGTTACATAGAACCTTATTCATTCAGCAATGGTTGTTTAAATATAAATGATGTCCCTTATAACACCTTTAATATTATACCTATTCGTATTTTTTCTTTTTAAATATGACCCTTAAAATATAAGATTTGAATATCTGTTTGGATTGTTTCTTCTTTGATTTTTTAGATTTACTGCACAGATCAGATGGTGTCAGTGGCCTCCTCAGGGAGATACATGTTCCTTAAGTACGACGACCGCTGGGCAAGTAACTCACTGGGATTCAACCTAACTTACCAATTCCGTACGTTTGATCAATTTAAAAAATAACAAACAATGAAATGACTGCACAGAGTGATGTTTGTTTTTCTATTTTCATTAAGTTGTAACTTCAGTGTTGACTAATCATAGCAGTATTATACCCCAGATAACGCGACAGTATTGGCCCAACGTAATTATGTAAGGCGATTTTTTCCCTCATAAAGACGCGCTTTAAATGTTTTTGCTTGAATTGATAAGAACTACAATGCTGTTTGCAGAGGTAATTCTGTTTCTCAGGGCCTTTGCTAGATCCGATGTCAGATTTTAAATTGTTGGGGATAACATTTCGTAGATGCACCGTACCATTGCTTTGCTTTGACGACCTGAAATAATCTTTTAAATAACGAAACCTCTTGATCTTTCTGCTAGATAAACGCCGCCAGTGCGGGTGCGGAGGTGACTATGAGCTCACGGCCCCCACGGGGACTCTCCTCTCCCATAAGGATTTTGACAGCTCGGACGGGATGTTGGTTCGACAGAAGTATCTACCTTGGTCTCGGTGTCAGTGGCTCATTCGTATGCCTGCAACTGCTCTGGTGACGCTAAGGTAAAGTTAATTGTAATTAACACTTGTTCATGTTTTATAATACACATGCACTTACAATATATGGACGTAATGACAGTAGACAGATTCTGCCAACATTTTCTCCCTAATTTAATAGAAGACATTCGGATCGGATGTACAGTCCCGCCGGAAAGTCCCCTTACCAAAAGGCTGCATAGTCTCCCAACCCTGCCCCGTATGGTCGAACAATAGAGGCCGCATGATAATTACAGGGTAGGGGAATCGGCAAATAATCATTATCGGACACCCTAATAACGTGAAGGTATTGTTTTCTGATTTCATTGTTTGTTCTCTGTTGTCGAGACTCTGGTTGCGTGCGACGTTGTATATGTGCGCACGCTTGTTTTGACGTCGCTTATTCTTCTTTGTTACGTTAAAATGATACATACGTTACTGATACATACGTTACCATGAAGCGTGTCAATATTTATTCTATTTTCATTGGTTTTCTTTCGCTTTGTGAGCCAACACTTATGTCTTTTATTTGTGTTTCATTAAAATAGTGTTGGCGCACAAAAGGAAAGACAACCAATGAAAATAGAATAAAAAATATTTACACGCTTTATGGTAACGTATGTATCATTTTAACGTAACAAAGAAGAATGAGCGACGTTATAACATGCGTGCGCACATATACAACGTCGCACGCAACAACAAATTCGCTACAACAGAGAACAAACTATGAAATCAGAAAACAATACCTTCACATTATTTGGTTACGTATGTATCGGTGACGTATGTATCATATAAACAATTTCAACAAACGGTTTCAAGACAAGTAATCTTTACTTGCTCTGCTTTTCCTTTTATTGTAATGTAGTATACCGTAAGAATAAGGCGGACGCTCACAAAACGGACAACAAACAATAAAAAATATTTACACGCTACATGGTAACTATTTTCATTGGTTGTTTTTCGATTTGTGGGCCAGCACTTATGTCTAAATGCTACATTAAAATGAAAGAAAACGAGACGAATGAGATTTCTTGCCTTCAACTATCTGTGAATTGTCCATTTGATTCATACGCTACCGATATGTACGTGACCAAATAATATGAAGGTGTTGTTTTCTGATTCCATTGATATTTTTCTGTTGTCACGACTTTGTGAGTGGGTGTGACTTTGTATATGTTCGCACTACGTTTTACAGCGCTCATTCTTATTTGTTACGTAAATATGATACCTGTACATACGTTATCAAATAACGTGAAGGTATTGTTTTCTAATTGCATTGTTTGTTCTCTGTTGTTGTGACTCTGTGGTTGCGTGCGACGTTGTATATGTGCGCATGCTTGTTTTTACGTCGCTCTTTCTTCTTTGTTACGTTAAAATGATACATACGTTACCGATACATACGTTACTATGAAGCGTGTAAATATTTATTCTATTTTCATTGGTTTTCTTTCGCTTTGTGGGCCAACACGTATGTCATTTATTTGTGTTTTATTAAAATAGTGTTGGCGCTCAAAAGGAAAGACAACCAATGAAAATAGAATAAAAATTATTTACACGCTTTATGGTAACGTATGTATCATTTTAACGTAACAAAGAAGAAAGAGCGACGTTATAACATGCGAGCGCACATATACAACGTCGCACGCAACCACAGACTCGCGACAACAGAGAACAAAAAATCAAATCAGGAAACAATATCTTCACATTATTTGGTAATGTATGTATCGGTGACGTACACTGTATGTATCATATAAACAATTTCAACAAACGGTTTCAAGACAAGTAATATTTACTTGCCCTGTACATGTACCACTTTTCTCATGAGGACAATGAAGTGAAATGTCCCTTGTGATGTTATATAAAATATAAAAATAAAATAAATAAAAATATCCAGGGTCTTGGATAAAATTGGAAAAATGACTCTTTTGGACAGCATCAATAAGAGGAAACTGTCCTTTATGGTGCATGTAGCCAGAAGCACAGGGTTGGGAAAGGGAATCCTGAAAGGCATGGTCAATAGAACTAGAAGGAGAGTGAGACCGCAACGGAGGCTGCAAGATGATATATACAGAGCAGTGGGCTTGACAATGGCTGAACTTTTCAAGGTTGCTCAGGACCGGGACTGTTGGAGGCGTACCGTTGCATGTGCCACGGCGGGTCAGTCTTGACCTTCCGTCTCTGATGATAATGATGTTATATAAGTCGTTGAAAGAAGAGAGATACCTTTGCATCCAAAATTAGCGAAAATTGGTGGGGTTACTAGCTAGTCTACCGTTTAAAACATAGTTATTGGTAACAAAAACGTTTTACATAAAAATAACGAACATTTCAATTATAGATTTGACCATTTCGATGTTCGAGGCAAGTCTTCCGCCGGCCTTTGCTATGGGGATATGTTGGTTGTCCACGACGGCAGTTCCAATCGAACTATTGGACAAACTTTCTGCGACAGTTACCAGGAGCCATTTTCCCTGACGTCGACAAGCAGTAGACTCGGTGTGAGGTTCTTAACCGGACCAATGGAAAGTATGGATACCAGAGGAACGGGATTTATTTTGACCCACTTTGGTTAGTTTTTTATGTTCAAAGTTTTCATTTTGATTCTAAATGTCTAAATGGTTTTCATTCGATGCAAGCTCATCTGAAACGCACTTCTGTTAATCAAACCAATTTAGATAAACGTTTTGATTTTACACAAATATGTGTTCTATTCAAACTGTTAGAATAAACAGGAATTTTTAAGTATAGGTAAAGCAAATATCAATTCAAGTAAATTAACTTTGACCATTACCCACCCATCTTTTTCGAGAAGAAAACCTGTTATTTTATCTTAGTGCTTTATACAGGTTCAGTATGATTACCAAAAAATTATATTGCAACATAGTATGACTTTTGCTGTATAAGTACTGGCAAGAAGCATCTTAATGCATTGCGAGCTTAAAACGGTTTAGTTTCGACCAAAAAGCTTGTGTTAACACACTGGTTCAGTGTTGTATTTAATACCTTTCGTTGTTGTAGCAACTTGCACCATGCCACCTCGTATCCCTGGAACTAACGTGACGTTCATTGATAGCAACAATGATGGCCTTGACATTGTGACGTACGGAGAGTCTATCCTGTTCACGTGCCAGCCGGGATACAATATGGCCGGTGGTGACGTCATCAAGACGTGTCTAGGAAATGGAACTTTTTCGGGCATCGATCTTCAGTGCATGCGTAAGTTTTAAAAAGGTTTTCTAATATTTTGCGATACCTTAAATGTTCTTTCTTGAGTGGGTTAAATCGCGATTTCTAGACCTTTTACTTTTATAACTATATCAATGCCAACTCTGTTATACACTGTAGCTGGCGTATGTTGTCAGTTCCCTGAATCATTAAAATGTGCACAACAGAGTATATTATTATAGAATTACCATCTGCCTATTTTACTCCAAGTACAATGTACATGTACAATGTACCTTCTCATACACAGAGGTCGTTTTCAAAATGTGACAAACTCATTAGTGGCTAATCGTTTGTGTTCTATAATCATCTTAATATGTCATATTTAATCACCGACGTAACCTGTGAAGACGCACGAAAACAATATCTTATACTGTCACGAGTGTCGTGTCCTCGTCATGTTTTGTTTCTCACCCTACACAGCCGTACGTTGCCACGACATCCCAATCATTGCCAACACCCAGTCATACTACACTGATGTGAATCTTGATGGCGACACTGTTGTCTCGTTCCGCGAAGTAGTCACGTACGAGTGCACCATGGGATACTTTCTGATGTCAGGGGACCAAGAGCGTCGGTGTCAACAGAATGGGAGCTTTAGCGGGACAGATGTCGTTTGTGAAGGTAGGTTAATAACATTGAAGTGTTAAGACAATATCTGTGTTATTCAAAATTGAAGCTGAAACGCAATTTTGAACATCAAATGATGAAAAAGGATTAAATAAAGTAAAATAAAAGTATATTATTTAAGTACATGTATATTTAATAAACAATCTCGCATTAATCATTTTGTTATGTTCTCAAAGAGTTATGGTGGGCACAAAGCGTATGTAACCAAGTATGTAGGGTATTTCACTAGTAGAAAAACGATGAATTTTTATCTACTGATGAGTACTCCCACTTTTAAATGTCATATCGCATACTGTACATGTACATGCAGCTCATATACTTTTAGCTCTAATGTGCCACATCCCGCCTATTCCTCATACCACACATACATTTCTGATGCACAACGAGAACCTCACATATCTTCACGAGGTAGAATACGTTTGTGACTATGGTTACCGGACCAATAGTGGGGACTCAGTGCGCATGTGCCAAGCCGACGGAAGTATCAGTGGCCAGAATCTCGACTGTAAACGTATGTTGTTTTTGATTTATTATCTAATTTGATATTGAACACGCCTTTTTAATTATCTTAAACAAAAAGGTGATTTGAATCATTAAAATTTACATTTAAAAGCATTTTCTTTGTCAACTTTTAAATATAATTGTTTAACGAAGGTTAGGACATCACTTAATGACCATTTTTTACACCATCTCTAAATTCCAATTTTATCTGCTTCATGAAATGTTAGCTTCTCATGCACAGATTTTCATTCACAACTTTTTTTGCATTGTTTTTTTTTTTTTTTTTTTCAGCTGTAACCTGCGCATATGTTCCTGATATTCCACAAACAAACATATCATACGTTGACCTGAACAGAGATGGCAAAGACATTGTGACATTTGGTGAGACTGTGACTTACCATTGTCAAAAAGGGTACCTGCGAAGTGCCGCTGGTAACGAAACCCGGTTTTGCATGGCCGATGGCACTTTAAATGGCACGGATGTAGCTTGTTATGGTAAATTGTCACTTTATGAAAATTCTTCAGTCGCCTGCTGTTCGATCTGCATTTCAGATGTGCAATATCTGATATTTGGAACCAGTTGCTTGCCTTCGAAATCTAGAAAAAAGTACAAAAATTCTTATAGCAAGCCCCACTACCCCATACTGCCGTATGGCACTCCTTTATTAATTTACTAATTTTAAAGGGATAATAACTCTTCGTATGAAATCTATATTTCACAATAAAAACATTGTGAATAACTCATAGAAATATAATATATTCTGTTTTACGACGAAAACAGCAGTTATAGCTATTATTCTGATATCTGAGCTTGTCTTCAGATCACGTGACCTCCATTGATGGCTATACTCTGTTATAATCTCTTAAGAGATTTTAACAAAAAACCAAACTTTTTAGAAAAAAACCAGGGACTAACTTTGAATGTAAAAATGGATTCATTAACCATTGATAAGCATGGGAAAATTGTTGTTTACTCCAGGAAAATTCATTTTTTGGCCAAAACGAAGAGTTATTATCCCATTAACAGTATATTCCTGCCCCTTTTATATTATAACCCTTTTCTTTGTACGAATTAAAAATACCTAACGTTGTTTCTCATTGTACTAATTACTGCTACAAGAAAGCAAATAAGAATAGCCAACTATTTGCCTGCATATACTAACAGAATAATTGTTTTTATTAATGTGTATTAAACTGCTGCCTAAAAAAATAATTACCATGATTGTTTTTAGCAATACGCTGTCTTGACGTACCACTCCTTCCCTACTCGACCATGACCAGCACCGACAGCAATGACGACGGCGAGGAGATCATATCCTACAGAGAGGCAGCAAACTACCAATGTTTGCAAGGTTATTATAGGAAATCTGGCAGCGAAAGGAGAATTTGCCAGAGCAGCGGTTCTTTAGACGGCGAGGACCTCGTTTGTGCACGTGTGTATTTTATGGCATTCATTTTTAACAAGTTGAATGCGAGGTCATTGGGAGGCATAGTTTCAGTTTTGAATTGTTTTTGGCTCGGAATAATTTATACATGACAAGGGCGTTACAGCGCAAGCAATAAACCTCCACTGTTTTAGCTCGGACAGGCCGAGTAAACTGCATACACATACCGGTACCTTAGAGTGAACAGAATTTCAACTGATTCATGTTAAATAATATATTTAGCTTAACTGTCCTCCTAGTCTCTAGTCTTCCTGTCTTCCAAGTCTCTTTAATGTGATCTTTGAGTGAGATTAAAATATCACGAATTATTTTCTTATAGCTAGACAATGTAACATTATCCCAGTGCCGGAAAATACCGAATACTTTTCTGAAGATACTAACAACGATGGTCAGGATACCGTGACGTTTACGGAAGTTGTGCACTACGTGTGCAGAAACGGGTTCTTTCCAATGGGAGGAAATTTGAAAAGGACGTGTCAGCATGACGGGCAATTAAACGGGACAGATCTCTACTGTAAAGGTAATGCAGTTGCTTGTGAAAAAACGGGAAAGTGTTGCCCTATGCTTCATAGCCCTTTCATTTACTTCAAAGACAAGACTTAAAAGCAAATGTAAATAATTCCAGTGTCAATTCTAAAATTCCAACCGTCATGCCTTATTACCATATATTTGGTAAGCTTAGACAACATCATAACGATTATCGAACCATAGGCACAACAAGGCGTTTGGATGAAGGCACCGTATAAGTTGCAACCATTTGAATTTATCTGAACTGCGTGTTTCCATTTGGCATATTAAGTGCTTTCAGATCCTACATGTCTCCTACATGTATATATAGCCTGAAATGGTAGTGTGAAGGTAAACTCAAAAATTGTCTTTATAGCTGTTGATTGCAAAGCGCCACCTAAGGTTGAGAACGCCGTTGTCATGGTGATTGAAACTTCACTCGGTTCTGTGGCCCATTATTTCTGTAATGCTGGGTACCAAAGTCAAGGCCGGCATACTTTCAGTGGCGAATGTAGTAAAAATGGGGATTGGATTGGAGAATTTACAGACTGCTCAGGTAAATAACTGATTACTTGTTTTCAGACGGCTGAAACAGTCTCGAATGAAAACTACTCGTCTCGCTATTCCTTTTATACTAATGCGCAATACTCAGTCTGCGCATCTCCAATTCCCCCCCTATGAACTCATTTCCTCACCTGACTTGCTTCGCTAACACATTTACGTTGACTCGTTAAACGGCAATAAATTCATTTCTTTGGTGGAAACACAATCTACGGGAACAATCATTTTATTTGTGGAATTGGCTGGCTAAATTCAAATTTTCCAATGTATATGCTCATAAATTCTTGTAGCAGCTTCATTTGATCATCCTCACCAAAAATATTACCAAATAGCCGACTGTGGTTCGGTTTCCTTTTTTAGGTGTATTCTGCAAGCCTCCAGCACCCATTCCAAACGCTGTTACTTCTGTTGGGAACCATGCTGCGAAACCCTGGGGATCATACATCAATATCACGTGTCTCCCAGGATATCTCATGGAACACGTGACTGGGGGTGTGGTCACGTGGACATGCCAGGGAAATGGCTCATGGGAAGGTTTGAAAGTCAGCTGCAAGGCCATCGGTACGGTTCTATTGTATTACTTTGTAAAATGTTTCAAGGTGCATAAGTGTATGTGTTAATTCTCACCATCGGTGCACTGTTAAAAAGCAAAAAAGCAAAGAAAAGTTAAGACTGAATTAATTAAGCATGTACTGGTAAACACAAGAACAAACATGTTCATGTACAATGAAGGGCCCCAATGCCATATTATTCCGCCAAGTCTCTTATGCAACTTATGTGTTAAAATCTTTTGACAATTGTTTTAGATTCATGGAAATAGTTTACAGTTACCATTTGTCCTAAAACATATTTCTTTTAAATGTGCTAAAATTCCTAAAAAGTAGATTACTGTATTTTGCTCACTGTCTTCCACAGATGACAGGCCTTCTCGGTCGAACGGGAACCAAAGCTATGACTGGATCATTTTTGTCATCGCAGTCGTCTGCGCAACGGTTTTGATCGCCATCATGGTAGCAGCAATAGCAATACTGACGGACAAAAGAAGGCGGATATCAACCAAAATGCGTCGTCTACGACGTGAGTACGAATCCTCTAGTCTCAGCTCTCCGCCGCTCTCTAGTCGAGGCACGCCGTCTTGTTTGTCAGATAGGAATCTCTTGGCTGGAGGGCTTCCACTAGCGTACCCTGGCGGGATGTTTGTAAGTGAGGCTTCAAAGGAAATGTACGAGGATATTTGGCGGTGGTACAAAATCAGCGACGCGGAAAATCTAGCAGACGACAGGAATGATACAGGTACGCGTGCGCACTTCAATCAATTTGCTGAAGCCCCATTGTATATGCATAGCGTAGACGGACTAAATCGCGATTTGAATGAGAACGATTTCATTGAACCGACCAATACAGAACAAAGAATATCGCAAGTTCGGGACTGGGGAAACAGTATGCTACAACAACGTGGAACAAATTACTCCAGGGACAGTTCGCCGGGTAATCAGTTTCGTTTGGATGACGCTGTTATCCCAAAGCAGTGGGAGGAGGAAAGCATGCGACCAGAGGAAGAAATAATAATTTACGAAGACTTGTCATGTTAACAGGTTATACAGTTGCATGTAACCAGAGGCCTTAGGAAACACACACACACACACACACACACACGCAAACGTACGATAAAACGTGACAGCTAGACAGTATGCTGCAGACTTAATTGGTGTAAACAGTTTTCCATGGTGCGTGACAGTGCGGTTTAAGGGGTAAATTAATGTAAACAATAATAGTGTGCAGCGTGTTGATTTTAGAGTGGTTATCATTAACTATGAGTCTCACTTATGGTTTGGAGAAATAATGCTTGTAGGTTTGAGTGTACATTTATAACACAGCAGATGAAATAGCTGGATTAGTGTGTGATCCATGCATTATTATTATTATTATTACTATTATATAACAAACTTTTGACCAACAATAACCAACTTATGATATATCATGTTTGTGGTACTTGAATGACATAATATAAGAGGACATAGGCAACTTACATTTCTACACGAAAAAAAACTTGTGAATTGTTTATGACTTTGTGCTTCAGGGCGGACTGAAATACACCGTCACATACAAGTATATTAATCATCCGAAAGACTTTTAATAATATAGCAGGCTTAATAATTGTTAAAGTTTTGGCGACTGCCCTTCATATCTCATTTACAAATGAAAAAAGTTGGTGAATGAATATTCTAAACCTAAATTAAAGGAGCGAAGACGGTACGAATATAATGTGGAGGTGAATAACAATCTCAACTATTACTATTACATGCATTTTTCCTTTAACTGTATAATACATATAAATTAATAAATATTTTTCACTGCACACTGGTTCATACTCTCTAAATACAGCGAAAAGCACAGCTATACATGTTTCTCTTGCATATATCTTAAGGATGTTGTCTTATGTAAAATTTGCTTTGCAGTCGCCATATGTTGATAAAAACATTCAAATTCAATGTCTGTTTATTTACACAACGTCAGCAAGTTCGAAGATGTCTGAGATAATCTCTGTTCGAATTTCTAGATTCCTTGATCACATCATATAGTTCAGTGTGGTGTTGGAGTTCCAGACCAGATGTGTACGTTATAAGAGTCAGAGCAGATTGGTCATAACGATGGTTTCTTAAGCTCGATCCTGCTGGGGCTATGCACTCCTTGGTCAGTGCACATTTGACCCATGGTTTCAGGATCTTCTCATACGTATCATTCCTTTTGGTCCAGCCATTTAGATTTCCTGAGTACGATGGTTTCAACTTAAAGGTTTTCTTGTCTAAACCCATGAAAGTGCACATTTTTTCATAGAGGAACACCGTTGTATCACCATCTTGTCCTTGGACAAGCAGATATCCATCATGTTGGATCAAGTTATCAATTTGTGTTATTTTACCACGGATGTGACTACCGGCATCAATCCAAACAATGTTACCCACTTCGTCTACCATTTGTTTTATTATAACTGGTTTCCAAGCATACTCTTTTAAATTCTTTAAATGCTGAGGGTATTTTTCGAAAGGAAAACGTCGATATGTCACATTACACCATGTTTGAGTTTCCTGCACTTGCTCTGGCGTCAAACCTAGATCCCAAACCACTATATTCAGTCCTGGTGCCCAGTAATGAGCTGATCCAACAAAGTTCCTCAATCCAGGAGAATAATATCCGGAATTTGCCCCCGTTACAAGAGTGAAAGAGTAATTTCGAATTCGGTTTGGCATCGGTCCTGCAATATGTGTAAAGTGAGCCATTACCTTTCTTGTGCCAATTTATGCAAGTATATAGAGGTATCTGGGTTCAGCAACCATCCATGAGCTTCTGAGGTACACCCTCCCCAAAACAGTACCCTCACCCCAAACCTATTGTTATAACCCTGGTCAGCCACTACATAGGTATACATCACTCAACGTGCCATGGATGTTATCGTCGACACTTCTGTGCAGAGATAAATTAAGTGCGGCTTTAAATGTAAGAGTTTACTAAAGATTTTCGATATTAAGGAATAGACACAGAGGCAGGCCAAAAATGACCCATTTATAAGCAGGAACAGAAAGGAAAAAAGAGGAATAGAGCGGAACGCGTTAGCTTTATTTATAGAATTTAGGAAAAAACATTCCATTCTGGAAAAAAACACCTTCGACCGAACGAGCGTCCGAGCTTACTAAAACTGAAATAAATTAAAAGGGTCGGTATTTTTTCTCTATTAGATACTTGACCAGTGGTTAAATCGCATGTACACATTTACATTGCTGCTTCAGTCAATACCTTATCATGAAATTAGAACAGTTCTGTAACTGATATGGAGTTCTTAGCGTGGTATATGGTCATAAAATGTAGAGATAAGCATCTTTCAGTACTTGAAGATATTTATCCTAATCGTTATCGATGCGTCTGAATATGAGAACAAGGACGCTTTAAGCCGTGTGCTAGCTAAAGGAATACTAGTTAAGCTGCATTCCATGACTGACGCAAAGATATACTTAAATCATTTTTTTCTCAATATTCAGGTCAATGCCAAATACTGTGGGCCATAAGGGGTCTATTGGATCATCAAAAGAATACATGTAAAACGTGCCTTGACGATTGCGAATTTTTAACCTTTAACCGTTTTATTTGTTTTACGTATACATGTAAATGTGAACACTTTAACATGTCATAAAGAGGAAAAGTTTGATTAATTGTTCTCTGCTCTTCTCCTTGTAAGAAGCTGATACCTCTCTAGTAAGATTTTTTGTGTTATTTTTATGTGGCACTTAGCCACGGCCATAATTAATGGTATAGGCGAGGGATATGTCAGCCTGGAGTGTAACACTATCCTTTAATTGAATATAGTTATCTTAGTACAAAGTTATAGACTACATAAAAATCCATGTATCCAATGAATTGTTCAAACAGGACACGTGATGTATCGAGAATACATTACCCTGGAAAAGCTTAGGGCTCATTCCGAACAAGCTGATTCGCGGAATTACGTATATATCCGAGGATCAAATATGGCGACCCATTTAAAAATCAATGCCAACCAATCTCTTGATGGTCTCCCGCCTCGACACGGGGTACCATTTTTGTTTTGAAACTATTCATGGAATTTTTGGTTGACTTATATGAAAATGATCCAGTTTAGAGCTTCAAAATAATAATTATTTTGAAAAATATGGCCTCCAAGATTTTAGTGGCTGTCAGTATATATAAATATATAACCAAAAGATTTGTAAGATGTTTTGCTTATTGACTCTTTAAAATGTAAAGTGAAAAAAGTGCAGTAATAAGAAAAATTAGAAATGCTGTTATATACTGATGAAATATTCATACACGTGCCAATCTCATTAAAAAGAATGGGAAGTTTTAAAGCTACATTTTACGTACATACTGAAAAAGTTACGATAAAGATATAAAATCAAAATATTAAGGTATGATCAATAAAGTAAACAAAAACGAAAAAAAATTATAAGGTTAATATTTTGACAAAAGTTAAAATTACATTCCCCTCCCCATCCCCCGTCCCCACCAACGGACTTGGTTGGACTCCATGTGAATATGAGTCCCGAATTTGGACTCCCTGTGCCCGAATTCCTGCAGAACCCCCTGTTGGCCCTTGATAAACTTTTCATCAGATTAAGCCTGTATTAAAAAGAGAACTTACGTGATAGTCAGCCCTATCAATGATCCTCTTTTATAGAGTCTTAGTATAACTGTACCTTTCAAGTACACTTTGTCAATAAATAAAAGGGTTTGATATATATTATACGCCGAATTATCAGTTTAAAACGTAATTTAACTGATTTTTTACCTTTTTGGGCATGTTTTAATGGTCATTTGAAATGCGGAATACCATGCACTTTAAACCCGACTCTTTGCTATGTTACATAATCATTTATTTATAATATAATGATATTATATTTTTTATATTATTGACGGCCATCTTGAATTTTGAAAATTGATCAATGTGCCGTATGTAGCCACTGCCAAGAAAGCCCAAATATAATTGGCTTTTATACCCCCAAAGTATTAAATTCTTTTTAAAATTTCAGGGAATAACATTCTAAGTATTTGACTATGGGACCCGGGGAAGTAGCAAACAGACTCTTAAGGGATTATTGAACTGTCAGATAATCTTATTCCAAGAGTTTAGGGTCATGACTAACAAAATATTATAATAAGCATAAATATAAAAAGGGGATATGGTTTTAATAAAACTAAATATGCAAAAAAACACACTGATTCTGCAGCTTTTATCATTTTCTGCCTTATGTTTTGACGGCCATTTTGGTTTTTTGCTAGGTGGTACGCGATTAAGCTTATTCACTAGTACTGGTGTGCTCTCCTGATAGGATACACGTTCAAAAAAGCTGTCAATAAAGTTTACCCGACGACTTCTTGTCATTTTTCTATTTTTCCTCATAAATTGACGGCCATATTGAAAAATGCTCAAGGTCTCGCAAATAGCAACCAAGCTAATTTTACTTCTCTCGGCCTGAAGAATGCATTTCAACAAAAAAAAGTTTACAGGAAAGAACATTGCAGGGTTCGACTATTGGGCCTATGGGAGTGGCGACTCGACTAGTGGTTTAAGTCGCATGAACAAATTTACATTGCTGCTTCAGTCAATACCTTACCGTGGTATTTGCTCATAAAATGTAAATAGAGGTAAGCATGCTTCAGTGCTTGAACATATTTATCCTAACCGTTATCGACGCGTCTGAAAACAAGGACAATGTAAGCCGTGTGCTAGCTAAAGGAATATCAGTTAAGCTGCATTCCATGACTGACGCAAAGATATACTTAAATCATTTTTCTCAACATTCAGGTCAATGCATAATACTGGGCCATAAGGGGTCTATTGGACCCCCAAAAGGATATATGTGAAACGGACGTAGGCGATTGCGAATTTTTAACCTCATACCTGTCTGTCTTATCGACACATTTTATCTTGGGCTTCGTTCACATGCAATGTCTATTTTCTAAATTCTATTTTTTATTCGCGCTATCTTATGATCACGGTCTGTGCCCTGAATATCCCGCCGCGTAATTACTGGCAGCGCGAGCCAGTTACTTATAGTAACTTATAGTAACTGGCTCGCGCTGCCAGTAATTACGCCGCGGGACATTAAGGGCACAGAGCGTGATCATAAGACATACCGCGAATAGAAAATAGAATTTAGAAAATAGACATTGCATGTGAACGAAGCCTTGGTACCATATCTAGACATCTCCCACTAGGTGTTTATTCTTGGTTGGGGGAGGGTTTTTGCTGGCTTCTTTACACCCAGGCTCTCTAACAGTTGGGTCTAGAAATTCATCTCTGAAAATCCTTCGGCGTTTTGTTTTTAACATTGTGAATTTTACCATCAAAACCCAGGAACAATTTCATCACTCTTCAAATAACCTCTGATGTCTTGATTTGTTCTTTACGCCCTAATATAAAGATCGAAGTCTTCCTCAAATATCCTGTACTTTGAAAACGTGGAACAACGGGGAGGGGGGTAGATTTTTTAGATTATCATTTGCTGCACCTCATTTATATTAACCATTGCCTCAATAGTCACAACGAGCTACAATATTGGTTCTCATCTCAAGGGCCTTGAGCAGAACTTTCTCCCAGAAGGGTGAGATTCGGAGTATTATATCTATTCTAGGGCCCACAAAACAACATGTCTTACTGGAGATAATTGCCTACAAATGTCAAAACTCGTTTATGGACACATAACTTGATTCAAAATCAAATCTGCACATAAAAAATGTTGTTGGTAGATCCGTGCTCCCCAGAATGGTTTGTACTTATCAAAACGTATAAACATTCAACTAAATACTTTTTAGCAAGGGACCACTGGTAGTCAAACGAGGATTACATTAAATATCACTTTAAAAACCCCATAAATGGTCCCATTGTTGTGGTTCAAAGATGTGTGAATGGATCTTATGAGGCCTGAATAGGATTAATATCCCGAATAACAGTATATTTTAAATGTTAAAACAAAACTTGTACAAACGTCTGTCCCATCATTCATTTGGATGAGCCTTAGTACATGGGTAATGTTTCAACATTTGCCTCCATTTTGTGGGACGACCACTTACCTGCATTAACTTGAAACGTGAGCGTTGAACGGAAAACAACCCCAGCGAATATTGCTCCAACCACCACTAAAATAAAAGCAGCGACCTTTTGCTTTCTGGATATTGTCGAAATGTTCATACTCATTATTAGCAAAAAAATTGTTGACGCTCAGTATACAAGAGCCTCTCACCAGACCATCCGGGTTTTTTGTGTGTGTTAAATAGGACAAATGTCCACATCAGCTGTAGATTTGAATTAAGGTCACTGATTCCGTACCAGTCTGGTATAATATGACGGAAATAATAAAACAATTAATGTACAGTTAAGAAACAGATATTGTGATATTTGTTTTACGTATACATGTAAATGTGAACACTTTAACATGTCATAAAGAGGAAAAGTTTGATTAATTGTTCTCTGCTCTTCTCCTTGTAAGAATCTGAAACCTCTCTATTAAGTTCTTTGTGTTATTTTTATGTGGCAACTAGCCACGGCCATAATTAAGGGTCTAGGTGAGGGATATGTCAGCCTGGAGTGTAACACTATCCTTTAATTGAATATAGTTATCTTAGTACAAAGTTATAGACTACATAAAAATCCATCTATCCAATGAATTGTTCAAACAGGACATGTGATGTATCGGGAATACATTACCCTGGAAAAGCTAAGGGCTCATTCCGAACAAGCTGATTCGCGGAATTACGTATATATCCGAGGATCAAATATGGCGACCCACTTAAAAATCAATGCCAACTAATCTCTTGATGGTCTCCCCGCCTCCACACGCGCCGTTAGTCCCTGCAGGTGCCTAGCAATTAAAATATCGGAGTCGAGAGTTAATCCGTTTAAACTTAAAGCCTACATTGGCTTGGTGACAGGTTTGAAAAATGTTATGATCTGGGTGGAAACTGTCGCTCGATCATGTCAGTCACTGTGGTAGTTGTAGTTGTTAACCTTTATTATCACCATGATACCGAAATTGAGGTGTTTCCTGCATCTAATTACTTAATAATGCATCTATATTTGTGCTGATTTAAAAGAATAAAAAAAAACCTTCGAAAATGTAAAATATTGGCGTTAACATTTGCGTTGCAGTGTATAAGAATAGGCAACTCAAGGTTTTGAGTGTCAATTTAACACCTTTCTTTTTTGAGATGAGATACCAATCGGAATGGGGCGTAACTTCATCCCTGAACAAGATTTGTTCACAAAAATTGGCAAAGTTGACGACGAGCGTATAAACCACGATTCCGTGCCGTCATCTTGGTTCAAACGTTTTTGTTAAGGGGTTGTGAGCCCCTAATTATAAAATTTTATTTAACAAAGGCATTATTTTGTTTTATCAACGATAAACTCCGAACTAGGACTTTTAAGAAGAATCACTGACAGAGTTTTGGAGTACTGAGAAGGGTCACAATATCCTTCAAAATTAATTATGGTTTTCATTTATTATTATTATTATTATTATTATTATTATTATTACAAAATATTAAAACCAAGAATACCCAACTCATGACATATCATGTATGTGGTAATCGAATGCCGTAATATAAGAGGATATGGGTAACTTACATTTCTAACCGAAGAAAACTGTTGAATTGTTTATTTTGTGCTCCAGGTCTAGAACGGAAGGAACATACCGTCTCATATATTAATCGTACGAAAAAAAATTAATAATATAGCAGGCATAATAATTGTTTTAGTTTTAACGACTACCCTTCCTATCTCATTTACAGAAGTACGAAAAAAGACGGCGATGTATGAATATTCTAAACCTAACATAAATAAAAGGAATGAAGAGGCTCAGAATATACTTAGAGTTGAATAACAATCTCAACATGCACACTAGCATATTGCCTTTAACTTTACAATACAGTTATATTTATACAATTTTCGCCACATGCCTCAACTGGTTCATACTCCCTAAATAAAGCAAAAAGCGCATCTATATATGTTTCATTTACATGTATCTAAAGTATGTCTGTTTATTTATAAAGTCAGCATGTTCGAAGATGTCCAAGATAATCTCTGTTCTCATTTCTTGATTGCTTGATGACAGCATATAGTTCAGTGTGGTGCTGGAGTTGCAAACCAGATGTGTACGTTATTACAGTCAGCGCAGATTGATCATAACGATGGTTTCCATGGTTCGATCCTGCTGGGGCTATGCACTCCTTGGTCAATGCGCATTTGACCCATGGTTTCAGGATCATTTCATACGTGTCCTTCCTTTTGGACCAACCATTTAGATTCCCCGAGTACGAAGGTTTCAACTTGAAGGTTTTCTTGTCTAAACCCATGAATGTGCACATTCTTACATGGAGGAACATTGTTGTATCTTTATCTTGTCCTTGGAGGAGCAGATATCCATCCTTTTGAATCAAGTTATCTATTTTGGTTATGTTGCCTTCGATGTGACTACCGGCATCAATCCAAACAATGTTATTCAGTTCGTCTACCATGTGTTTTATTATAACTGGTTTCCAAGCATACTTTCTTAGATGCTTTACATGGCGTGGGTATTTCTCGAAAGGAAAACGTCGATATGCCACATTACACCATGTTTGAGCTTCCTGCACTTGCCCTGGCGTCAATCCTAGATCCCACACCACTATATTCAGTCCTGGTGCCCAGTGCTGAGCTGATGCTACAAAGTTCCTCAGTCCAGGAGAATAATATTTGGAATTCGCTCCCGTTACAAGAGTGAAAGAGTATTTGCGCGTTCCTGCAATATTTAAAAAAAAATACACATTACCTATTCTGTAGCAAAAGAGAATTGAAGGGTTGTATAGGGTGCAAGAAGCACGTGCTCCGTGCGAATCCTCCTTTCAATCAACTCACAAATATCTGTTTCCAATAATTTATTTTATTTTAACAAATACAAAAAAGTAAATAACGCTTATTAATATCGCATAAACGATTTGTGTAATGAAACCCTGAACTTCTGACAAGTACTTTTGCGTTGCATTTAGGATAGCTAATGCATGACTGGAGTCGTTAATTTGGGTATTTGCGCTCACAAATCTAGGGCTCGAGTTAAAAAACGCCTCATCCGTTTATAAGACCTGTAAATCACGTTAAGTAAATCACGCTGTCATACACATGACAAGACCTTACATGACCTTGAACATTTGTCATATGGTGATGACTGAATATTATAATTTCATCTGTTATTCAGGTGTTTCATACGTAGAACACGTTTCAAGCCACAAGTGAAAGAGCCAGGTGTCTCATACTAAGTACAGCATGTTTAAAGGAGAACTCATATAAATGTCTGACCTGGCGATTGTGATAACTACTGTAAGACAAAATCTAATCACCATATGAGTAAAAAAAATATGAAAAAATGGGGGTAATCTAGCTCGTTTTCGAGAGGTAGCGTCCCGAAAAACGCCAGGGAGTATGTAAAAAAGTCGCAAGTGGGTCCATTAAATCGTAAAAGATCCAGCTTCACCGAGCGTTCTTCGCTAAATGCGACGTTTTGATGACATATTCCAATTCTTTGATCAAAATGACAACAAAGCTTTCATTAAATTACGAATGACATATTTTTTGCATGTTACATTAGATCATTAGTCGCTGTCGTAAAAAAGTACTCCAACCAATATGAGAGGGCCTTCTAAGCCGTTCGTTTAAGAACCACCGCTTTGGGCGGTGGTCATCATTGACAGTTATCAATTATAAACAGTCAGTCTTCTAAGAGGAATTTCTCATATAACATATCTATCTAATGCAAAGCGAGAAGAAATTAGTCCTTTTAGGTAGTCCTAGTACAAAGATATGAAAGGTGAGGTCTATATATACCTCCGTTTTGTAGGACAAACGCTCACCTTCATGAAGCGGTAAATGTTCTGTGTTCAGCCTTGCATAGAAATTAGTTACAGCAACCATCGCTCCAACAACAGCTAAAATAAAAACTGGGTTCTTGCGCTTTCGCGATAATCTCAAAAAGCTCATAATCCTAATAAGTAAAACGTCTTAACGCTTCGTTCAGTGGGGCATTCGCCAGGCTCAGCCTATTGTCATATTTTGTTAAAAATTGAGGTCAATGAATTAATTCTTTAAGTGACTAAGAGTGGAATGTTCTAATGAAAAAGCAGGAAACTATATTAATACTAATAATAAAATTATGTGGACGTGCATATATACACAGTACTGGGTAACAGCAACGGGACAAGGACGTCAGTGCGGTAGGCCGAAAATTTATTTAATAGGGGTAAATATACACAATACTAGTGTGCAGCGTCTGGATTTTAGAGCGGAATTAAGCCATTCATCATGAGTTTCACCTATTGTTTGGAGAAATAATGCTTGTAAGTTTGAATGTACTTGTATAACACAGCAGATGAAATAGTTAGCTGGATTAGTGTATGATTCATACATTATTATTATTATTATTATTATTATTATTATTATTATTATTATTATATAACTAACTATTGACCAACAATAACCAACTCATGACATATCATGTGTGGTACTTGAATGTCATAATTTAAGAGGACATAGGCAACTTACATTTCTAAACAAAAAAAAACTATTGAATGATATACACCGTCACATATATGAGTCATACGAAAGGATTTTATTAATAAAGCAGGCTTAATAATTGTTTTAGTTTTGGCGACTGCCCTTCCTATCTCATTTACAAAAGTACGAAAGAAGACGGTGAATGATATTCTAAACCTAAAGTAAAGGAGTGAAGACGCTACGAATATAACACTAGCATAGTTTGCCTTTAACTTTGTAATATATGCATATTAATACATAATTTTCGTCACATACGTCAACTGGTTCAGACTCCCTAAATACAGCGACAACTGCATCTATACATGTTTCTCTTGCATATATTTTAAGTATGTTCCCAGCAGACAAACGACATTGATTCACCGTTGAATCAACGTTAATTTTGGTGGATCAACGTTGAATCAACGTAGAATCAATGTCGTTTGCCTGCTGGGTTGTTTTATGTAAAATTGGCTTTGCAATCACCTATGCTGATATAAGCATTCAATGTCTGTTTATCTATACAACGTCAGCATGTTCGAAGATGTCCAAGATAATCTCTGTTCCCATTTCTAGATTCCTTGATGACAGCGTATAGCTCAGTGTGGTGCTGGAGTTCCAAACCAGATGTGTACGCTATTAGAGTCAGCGCAGATTGGTCATAACGATGGTTTTCAAGGCTCGATCCTGCTGGGGCTATGCACTCCTTGGTCAATGCACATTTCACCCATGGTTTTAGGATCTTGTCATACGTATCATTCCTTTTGGACCAGCCATTTAGATTTCCTGAGTACGATGGTTTTAACTTAAAGGCTTTCTTGTCTAAACCCATAAATGTGCACATTTGTTCATAGAGGAACTGTGTTACATCATCATCCTGCCCTTGGACGAGCAGATATCCATCCTGTTGGATCAAGTTATCAATTTGTGTTATTTTTCCACAGATGTGACTACCGGCATCAATCAAAACAATGTTACCCACTTCGTCTACCATTTGTTTTATTATAACTGGTTTCCAAGCATACTCCTTTAAATTCTTTAAATACTGAGGGTATTTCTCGAAAGGAAAACGTTGGTATGCCACATTACACCACGTTTGAACTTCCTGCACTTGCTCTGGCGTCAATCCTAGATCCCACACCACTATATTCAGTCCTGCTGCCCAGTGCTGAGCTGATCCAACAAAGTTCCTCAATCCAGGAGAATGATATCCGGAATTTGCCCCCGTTACAAGAGTAAAAGAGTATTTTCTGCTTGGGGTCGGTCTGCGCCTTCCTGCAATATTTGTAAAAATACACATTACCCAAGAAGTATAACTATGACTGCGACTTTCAGCATTTTAGACAAATTTAACCGAAATGTCGTCGAAATTATCTAGACTATATTGAGGTTGTATCTGAGATCTTTTCCGATGGACGCTACGCAAAATGTTGAGAGAAGCGAGATATTTCTGCGTAGGGGCTCGAGGTTGCCCTCCATACCTGTATATTCACTGAAGCATGTCTAAATGGACAGGGTTCAGTGTTCAGCATATTGCCACGGCCGCATAACTTCCTTAGGTATGTACTGCATTAACAATTAAGCCTCCTTATATCCATGACTCCTATTTACATAGGCTCCCTACGAGTTCTTTATTTCTAATGCGTTCTCGACAAACTCCGGCCTATACGAAAGGTGCCGAACCAGTATAGATATAAGCATATAAACAGTTTGTGCAATCAAATCCTGGGCTTGTGGCAGGGAATATTGCGTTGCATTATGGAAAGTTAATGCGTGGCTGGAGACGTTAATTTGGGCATTTGTGCTCATAAATCTAATTAATTAAGGTTCGACTTAGAAAACGCCTAATCCTTTTATAAGACCTGTAAACCACGTTAAGTAAACCACGCTGTGCTACCTGTATACATGACAAGACCTGACCTTGATCTTGAACATTTATCATAAGGTGAACACAGAATATAAACACTCCAGTTGTTATTCAGGTGTCTCAAGTGCTCTGGCGCTCAAGTGCACGTTTAAGCCGTTCGTGTAAGAACCAGGTATCTCATACTATATGTACAATTAACGTACATTGTTTTAAGGAGGCTCTTTCATAGTATAGAAACACCATATCTGCCCTAGCAATTTTGATAAAAATTGTAAGACAGAGTCTGCTCACCATATGAGTAAAAAATATGAAAAAAATGTGGGTAATCCAGCCCGTTTCCGAGAGGTAGCGTCCCGAATAGCGTCACGGGTTTTGTGACAAATGGGTATAATAAGTCGTTTTTTTAAGTGTCACCGACTATTCTTTGCTAAATGCGACGTAATGTTGAAGCTTTCTTTAAAAGATTAATTACATATTTTCATGCATGTAATATTTCGCTGTCGTTAAAAAAGTACATGTTGGCTCCTCGTGCTAATATAAGAGAGCCGTAGGCTCCTCGTGCTAATGTGAGAGAGCCTCCTTAGCCGTGTAGGCCTATGAACCACAGCTGACAGCTTTCATTTATAAACAGTCACCCTATTTTTAAGAGGAATTTTTAACTAATATAAAACTAATGCAAAGCAAGAAAAAATCGGTCCTTTTAAGAGGTCCTATAGTACAAAGCTACGAACGTTTACTTGCGTTTTTAGGGACGAACACTCACCTTCATAAAGTTGATCATGCTCTGTGTTTAGCTTTGAAATGAAAATAATGACAGCAATTATCGTTCCAACAACTGCTAAAATAAAAACTTCTATCTTTTGCATAACAGATGATCTTGAAGAGTCCATAATCCTGATGAAAAGAACGTGTTGGCGCTTGGTTTAGCGGAGCATTAGCCTGGCGCAGCATTTTGTCATATTAACCATTAGAATGACCTTGAGGTAGAAGTGTTGTTAAAATTGAGGTCAATGAAGTAATTCCTCAAGTGACTATACGAGTGGAATGTTCTAATGAAAAAGCAAGAAATTGTATTAATACTAATAAAATTATTATTATTATTATTATTATTATTATTATTATTATTATTATTTGTTTTTTGTTTGTTTGTTTTAAGGTTAAAAATCCGTGAAAAGTTAAGTAGACTACAGCACATCAAATGTATAAAACGTTCAGCTGAGAATGATTAAGATTTATATAGGTGCATTTATATGTACCGGTATATAATTCAATTATTCATATCAACGGTATAAGCTGGGGAGTGATTTCCTCAGGTGTTTGTATCCGTTGACACCAGTTCTTTTTACCAAAACAGGTCCATTAACCTCATGTAAATGTTTAAATGGTGCATGTCTTTTAGAACTTAAGATGGAGTAGCGCGTGGGCCTTGTAAAACACATTCAGCTAATGTGCGTAATAACTATAAGGATATGCCAGACGTTCCTTTTATGCATTGTTTAACTTTATGCAGTTGGGTTTCAGATCGTGCAGCCACAGCTTTTTGTGCATGCAAATATATTAGCCATATGCGTTAATATGTTTATCCCTCCGATTACAAGTTGACTGTTTGCTTGGTTTTGTTAACATTGTAAAAAAAAAAATTCCGCTCAAATGTGTACATCTGCTTACTATCCAGAATGAATGAAAATCAATTATCTACACTGTAGAAAACGGGTGTATTTTGTTTGGATTATTTTAATTCAATTTTTCATGATTGTATTTTCCCGTTTTACTGTTTGCACTAAAAGTGCACTTGATAACATCGACTCACCAGTTGCATCAGGAGTAGGCCTACGTGCAAAATGTTGATTTAATTGCCTTTAATCTTATTCCAGCTTTTGGCACTTACCATGGTATCAGCTATCAAAAGAAAGAGTTATGGTTTCTTCCTTCACATTATCAGTTTGAGAAAGGTGCTGAAACTCGAGCTGCAGCCAAGTTGCAGTCTAGAGTCGTCTTGTGAAATACTAACGCATGTTAAAACCTTTTCTTTAAAGCAGTAGAGTTTATCAGTGTAAATTAATTAATCACAAGACATTACACTGTATACAAAGGTGTTGAGATAAAGACATTTTTTAAAATGCGGATCACCTCTAGGCAAGATTCACTTTATTTCTCTCCGAAGCTAAATAAAAAAAATGGAACGCAAATAATCAAGGATTAACGTACAGAATAAAAACAGATTTATTGTGCTATTTGCAGTCATGATGTACACACATTACCATCTTATAAATACTTAAGTTTAATTACTTATGATGTATGGGAGGAATATTGCAACCGAGCGAATACGCGCCGGGGGTGAAACACCACCCCTTAATTCCATTTATCTTATCAAAGCACAAGTATAAAGATTACATAAAAAATTCATGTATCCAATTGAATTGTTTAAATAGAAAATGTGAGGTATCGGGAATCCATTACCCTGTAAAACCTTAGAGCTCAGTTAGAACAAATTACAGATCCAAGGATCAAATATGGCGACCCAGCAATGCCGACCAATCCCTTGGTGGTCTCCCCGCCTCCACACGCACCGTCCCTGCAATATGGCCTAGACATTACACATCGGAGATGAAATGTAATCATTTTAATGACGCGTGTGGAGGCGGGGTGAGCATCAGGGGATTGGGCAGCCTGCTTTTAAGTGGGGTTGGCCATATTAAATCCACGGATCATCTGTTCTGAATGCGACCTTAGTTGTGTTACAAACCGCACAAAGCAGTAAAGATTGACTTAGTTAAGGAATTAGTGTTTAAAAAGAATCCTGCTGCTGGGTAGAAACAAGAATCTTTTACATTCCGTAAGAACCTAAAGCCTACAATGGCCCGGTGAAAGGTTTGAAAAAGGCTATGAGCTGGATGGCCAAACGGCCACTCATGTCAGACACTGTGTTAGTTGCACTCATTGACTTAACTGTTGATTGTAAAGTGCCGGGAATGGGAAGGATCTATTGTGTACAACGTAGCGCTGTTGTGACGATAAAAACCTCATATTGCAGTGTCGCATGTCCATATTTTTTCTGAAATGTACAAGAAAACGTGTCCATGATCAGTAAATAAGAAGACAAAATGTCTTATTTTCGAGTAAAATTCGACTCGGCAGATAGGATACATTTAAAATCATGTTATAACAAAAGACGGACGACTTTTGATATTAGAGGATAGTTAAAAAAATATCTGAAACTCAGGGAAATAAACACGTTCGTAATGAACATTAAAGGGATAATAACTCTATATTTCACAATAAAAACATTGTGAACAACTCATGGAAATATAATACATGTATATTCTGTTTTACCACAAAAACGGCAGTCATAGCTATTATTCTAACATCTGAGCTTGTCTTTAGACCACGTAATCTCCATTGATGGCTATCCTCTGTTATAATCCCTTAAAAGATTATAACAAAAAAACAAAACTTTTTTATATAAAAAAAACAGGAACTAACTTTGAATGTAGAAATTGATTCGTCAACCATTGGTAAGTATGGACAAATTGTTGTTTACTCCGGGGAAATTAATTTTTTGGCCAAAACGAAGAGTTATTATCCCTTTAATATTTTACTCCTGTCACAACATAAATCAGACATAAAATTAATTTTAAAAATTATCAAAGGGACTGCTTATAATATTAAGGAAAGATTAATAACAGTGTAATAAATCATTGGTCGGGTGGATCCAACGGGATCTGGTTGACATGAAGTAAACAAGCTGTATTAAGTTCCGGGAACAGTCCATATATAAATAAAAGCGCAACCCCACATTATCAATTGCCGTTAAGAGGGAAGATCATCTTTAAGATGGGCTCCGTAATGAAGTATGTCCTACTTGTTGTCGCATTAGGAGGATTCGTTAAAGGTAAGAATATACTGGGCCCGGTTGCACCAACGGGTCGTAACTCAGGAGTAGCAGCTACGCCCGAGTTACTCATCGAAATACATACTCAACAGAAAAGCCAATTGCGCCAAAGTGGGGTAGTGTTTGCGCCACGTACGCAGTTTATGTCGGTTCCAAAATATTCATATTCTGCTGTTTTTCCACGTTTGTATCATCAATTTCAGAGAGGGAAAATGGGGGCAGGTACTTGTTATGAAAAAAGTGAACTTTTTTTATCGGTTGACCCGCGCTTTTATTTTCTTAAATGCCATTTAAATCCTAGTTTCATTTTTATTAGAAGTAAATCCAAAATGGCAAGTATATTAAACCCTGAGTACGGGCCTTGGGCTTTTCTTATAAACAATGATCATTTGTAATATATTTGTAATATCATTTGTCATATATCATATAGAGATGTAGGTTTGGGCTTGATTATTTTTAACCCGAAAAATGTTCTCGTCATGGAACGCGTCACTTTTATATATAAACTGTTCCTATATTTCTGTTCTAGGACTTTGTGTGTCTGGCCAGTGGACGATGCTATATGAGCACGATGCTTCAGGAGCGGTGATAAGCGGAAGCCTTGCGGCTCTGAAAACTGCAGTCAAAAATGGCGCCCGTATTCGTATAGTGATGCCTTCTGGATATGCGGCAGAGGCGGACTATATTTTCATCAAAGATGGCGGTAGCGTTTGTGGACAATTCCTCTGGCACGTCAGCAAAGCTAGTAAGTTATCAAAATTATTCCGTATAAACTTAAGTGTATCATGTCCGGGATTTCACCGTCTGGTCGAAATTTCCTCGAAAATTATTCTCTTTCTACCCCTCACGAAGCATTGTTCGGCCCATTCCTACATTTGGCTTCAATTTTTCATACCATTTCTTATTTTATGATAAAGTTAAGTATTTAGTTTGGCCACCCACCTTTAATTTTAGACTGTTTAGAGGTGTCATATACTACATCGAGTTTTCCTAAGGAAAAGCAAGTTTTCCTGCTCACGAATCATTGCTTGAGCGTCCCTGCACTTAGTTTTAATGTCTCATACCATTACCAATAGAATAATATAATTAAAAATGACTGGTCAGTCAACTAGGATATAAAGATAGGAAATATAACTTTGGAAAATTTTAACATTCATGTGTGCTTATCCCTGGTACACTTACTTATTTATAATTCTTTACTCGACCCAATCAATTTTTTTTTCTGATGGCAAGTGCAAGTTAAATATAAACGTTTTAATTAGTATCTGTACTCTCCGTATTTGTCAAACCACTCTAGTAACAACCCTTGAATACCTTTATTTTTATATGTTACATTTTATTCAACAAAAACACTCAATGAAGAAAATACATATTTGCGGTATATTCCAGTAAGCACTGAATCAAAACAGTGTCAAGATTGCTTCGGGTACGTTTCAGGTTGGAACTCCTTTCAAGGCGACGTCTTCTGGTGGTGGAACATCTTCTGTACATCTGGAAAATATTACACCACACGCTACAACATCGGTTCTCACGTCCATCGGGGCGACTCAACGACCGCCACGAGACTGAAATGGTTTGCCAGGAAGGACTGGGCCACGGTGAAATATTCCCATGATAGCAGTGGAAACGGGGATCAAACTGGACACGAAGCTTTGGCGCAGCACATTAGAGACGGTGCCGAGGTGAGGGTCGTATCCCAAAGTTCTTCAGGCCATTTGGCATATGCTCCGTTGCAGAACATGCTTGTCAAGCCGCGAAGAGAGAGTGGTGGTGGATCACAGACGTGTAGTAAGGTTATGGGACAGTGCCTTACCGTCGTCAGTCAAATGATTACCGGAAATGACGTCAAATTCCAGAGTAATGCTTACTGGTGGTTCGTTCTTCTGTCTACTTCCGGATCACGTGACATGTCGCGTTGGAACGTCGGAGAACACGTCGATAGGGGGCACACCAGTGACAACATACCCATGGACTGGATGGTTGACCCATCGTGGAAAAAAGTATATGCAAATGGACCAACGGGGGAAGGGATTTTTGGCAAAAAATCTGAATTGATATCGGCTGTCCAAGATGGACATCGAGTGCGAATGGTCATGTTATACCCGGATGCCACGTGGTACGCAACCAACGTAAACAACGTTCGCGCCAGAAATGGTCATGTTACAGCTCAGTCCATACAACACGTCAGCATGGATGCAAATGCCGAGCGTTTCCAAGACAACGCGTACTGGGTATTCATGATGGCGTCTACCACCGGGACTGTTACACGTGCCAGGTAAGATCCAAAATGATATTGTGAACTCTATTTAAACCTGATGCAAAAGAAATCTTTTAAATACTTTGCAATTTGCGAAAAGTGTGTAAGGCTCATTTTTCGTGAAGCATCCGTCGCTTCAAATTGAACGCCCTTATGTAAAATATTTTTAAAATGCTTTTAAGTTTTGTATTTACAGCAATTAGGCTACAGAAATTATATCTTGTTTAAGTTCATATTTCATTAACCTTTTGTTTATTTACTGATATGGGTATTTTATCACTTGTATTTGCTGTCATTGCAGATATAACGTGGGAGATACCACAGCAAGAGGAAGCGACGTGCAACACTGGACAATTCACTGGTTTGTGGACACTCAGAATTGGAAAAAAGTTCTCTCTCATGGCACAGATGGAACCGTAATAGCAGGTAAACTTTGACCCATGACCGAGCAATGTTTCTTCCCATTACCTGTGAATAGTTGTTTAATATACCTTAACCCTGGGATTTCATCCAATGCCGTGATCCGTAAGGGGTGATATTTATTTGTTATTATTGTGTTTATTTATTATTATTTACAATTTTCTCTATTTTCGTGATCCTGTGATTTGTAGGGATATCAAACGACAAAGTCAATGACAAGCAAATAAATAAATGTTCAAAACAATAATAAAAATAATAAAATGCAGATGTAATTTATCATGTACAGTACGTGGCTCACGTAAATAGCAAACGCACCATTCACTTGATCAATTAACGACTAGAATTCATTGTCAAATCTGGTTACCAAGATGTAACTCCAGTATAATTTAAAAAAAAAACACTTATTCAAGGAATTATAAATTATTTTCAGGTTCAAGAACTGCACTGACATCAGCTATTAAAGAGGGCGCCTCTGTCCGATGTGTAATGGCCGATGGCCGTTATGCTTTTCCAGCTGAAAATGTTGCGATAAACGGAGATCACGTGGCCGCCCAGACTATCCACAGCATAAGTGTTGCAGTCAGCGGAAGTTCGGAGTACGTCTTGCAGAGCAACCCCTATTGGTGGTTTACCATAGTAACTACGCAGGGCGACCGAAAGATGTCGCGCTGGACGGTCGGGAGTCATCAGTCACGTGGTGACAGTGCCGACAAGGTGGCGATGAGTTGGTTCGTTGACGTGTGAATCACCCACTGATGAACTTCAAATTACACGTTTTAAGCAACCAGATTCTAACGTGGCCATTTTAGACTTGATTGTGATGATTTTTTCTTCGATAGGGAAATTTCTGTTTTATTTGGTTGAAATAGATTTGCATGATTAACCTGATCCGTGCGACGTCTGATATAGTTACATTTAGGCCTACGTGCACGTCTCGACTTTTCAGACGATGAACAGACGATCAAAGTGTGTTCCGTGTAAAGGGAAGATATTATTTATGTATCCTCTATCCTTTCCTTGTGCGCACTGCACTCTAAATTTTACTATCTATTAATCCTACTGTATATGAGTGTCCCTTATACACAAAATTAGATATTTTTATGGGTAAAATATTCTGAGGGCATTGCATCTTTATATATTAATTACCATTAAAACCAAACTTAGCCTTGATACTAGCCTTGATACATATTCAGATGTACACACAATGGACGATAAAGGTGTCACCCCCAGAATCAGAGTAATCAAAGTAGGTAGATCTTGAGTATATAGTTATAATGCCTGGTCTACGTATAATGTGACTAATGAGTATAAAACCGCTGTACCATGGAATTGTATTGTTGGTCTTTTTGTGAAATTTGATGTTAATAAAATGATACCAGGAGCATATCATTCCACAGTCATTTATCTCCCCCAAATTATTGGTTCGGTAGGGGTGATACTTCTATTGTCCAGTGTGAGTATATGTGCCGAACACATCTAGTAGGGCTATAGGACGCAATGTATAAATGTTTAAAAAAAATACACCGTACGCGATGTACATGATGGCAAAATAAAACGATTTGGCCATGAAGTAGTTGTTGTTCAATAAGAGTTTATTTCGGCAACTACCGGCAATATGCACCCCCCCCCCCCCCCCTTCAATTTCTGAAAAGAATTACACCAATAGTCCCCTCTCGAAATTAGAATTTTGACTGGTTGAATCATAGTTCCGTACAAAATGGCACCGTTCGCTTCTGGGACCTTCATCTGGCGCCGAACCACACACCATGGGTTGGGGGGGGGGCGGCTTCACATCCTTCAAATTATCCGTGATCCGCGGTTACAAACCTCACAAAGGAGTAAACTAAGATCAACTCAATTTAGGAGTCTGTGTTAAATAGGGATTCTGCTGCTGGGTAGAAACCTAAAGCCTACAGAGGCTTGGTGATAGGTTTGAAAAAGGCTATGAGCTGGATTGCCAAACGGCCACTCATGTCAGGCACTGTGTTAGTTGTACTCCTGTAATAAACTGTTGCTTGTAAAGTGCGGAAATGTGAAGAATCTATTGTGTGCATCGTAGCGCTAATGTGACGATAAAAACCTCATATTACAGTGCCGCATATCCATATTTTTCTGAAATGTACAAGAAAACGTGGTCGTCTAAGTGAGTGGTCATACGTTGATTAGAAACGGTATAAAACATCGAATCCAAGTGCAAGGATGAGTCGATCATGATCAGTAAATAGGAAGATAAAATGTCCGATTTTCGAGTAAAATTCGACTCGGCAGATAGGATACATTTAAAATCATGTTATTACTGTTGATAATAGAGGGAAGTTCATAAAAATGCATATATCTGAAACTTAGGGAAATAAACATGTCAGTATAATTAACATTAATATTTTAGCCCTGTCACAAAATAAATCAGATATATAAGTTTTATTAACAAAACGAGTGCTTATAATACTGTGGAAACGTTAATAACAGTGTAATAAATCATTGCTCGGGTGCGGCCAAACAGGATCCGGTTGACATGATGTAAACACGCTGTATTAAGTTCCGGGAGCAGTCAATATATAAATAAGAGCGCAACCCCACATTATCAACTTGCCGTTAAGAGGGAAGATCATCTTTAAGATGGGCTCCGTAATGAAGTATATCCTCCTTGTTGTCGCATTAGGAGGATTCGTTAAAGGTAAGAAAATAGTGGGCCTGGTTGCACCAACGGGCCCTAACTCAGGCGAAGCAGCTACATGTACGCCCGAGTTACTCCTTTGCAATACATTCGCAACAGAAAAGCCACTTGCGCCAGAGTGGGATAGTATTTACGCCACGTAGGCAGTCTATGTCAATTCCAAGATATTCTCATCCCGCCGTCTTTCCATTTCTGTACCATCAATTTCAGAGAGGGAAAAGGGGGGGAGGTACTTGTTAAGAAAAAAGTGAACCTTTTTACCGTTTGACCCTTGTTTTTATTTTCTTAAATGCCATTTAAATCCTAGTTTCATTTTTATTGGGAGCAGCTAGATCTTGCACCAGCCAAATTGGCGGGTATATTGAACCCTCGAACATCCCCAAGTACTTATTAACAGTGACCGTTTGTAATTTTAGTACAATGAGTCATATCATATAGAGATATGGGTTTGGGCTTGATTATTTTTCATCCGAAAAATGTTGCTCTCGTCATGAAGTGCGTCACTTTTATTTTTGTACTGTTCCTATATTTTTGTTCTAGGACTTTGTGTGTCGGGTCAGTGGACGATGCTATATGAACACCAAGCTACAGGAGCGGTGATAGGCGGCAGCCTCGCGGCTCTGAAAACTGCAGTCCAAAATGGCGCCCGTATCCGTATAGTGATGCCTTCAGGATACGCGGCAGAGGCGGACTATATTTTCGTCAAAGATGGCGGTAGCGTTTGTGGACAATTCCTTTGGCACGTCAGCAAAGCTAGTAAGTTATCAAAATTATTCCGTATAAACTTAATGCATCATTGCCGTGCGGTTGAAATTTTCTAGAAAATTTTCTTATTTATCCTCCCCCCAGGAAGCATTCGTCATACCACCCTAGTTACAGCCTTAGAATACCTTAACTTTTATATGTTACATTGTACTCAACAGAAACACAATATGTAGAGAATACATATTTTCGGTATATTCCAGTAAGCACTGAATCAAAACAGTGTCAGGATTGCTTCTGGTTCGTTTCAGGTTGGAACTCCTTTCAAGGCAACGTCTACTGGTGGTGGAACATCTTCTGTACATCTGGAAAATATTACACCACACGCTACAACATCGGTTCTCACGTCCATCGGGGCGACTCGACGACCGCCACGAGACTGAAATGGTTTGCCAGGAAGGACTGGGCCACGGTGAAATATTCCCATGATAGCAGTGGAGGCGGGGATCAAACTGGGCATGAAGCCTTGGCGCAGCACATTAGAGACGGTGCCGAGGTGAGAGTCGTGTCCACGAGTTCTTCGGGCGATTTCGGATATGCTCCGTTGCAGAACATGCTTGTCAAGCCGCGAGGGGAGAGCGGCGGTGGATCACAGACGTGCAGTAAGGTCATGGGACAGTGCCTTACCCACGTCAGTCAAATGATTACCGGAAATGACGTCAAATTCCAGAGTAACGCTTATTGGTGGTTCACTCTTCTGTCTACTTCCGGATCACGTGACATGTCGCGTTGGAACGTCGGAGAACACGTCGATAGGGGGCACACAAGTGACAACATACCCATGGACTGGATGGTTGACCCATCGTGGAGGAAAGCCTACACTAACGGACCAAAGGGTGAAGCAATATTTGGAAAGAAATCAGATTTGATATCGGCTGTCCAAGGTGGACATCGAGTCCGAATGGTTATATTATATCCGGATGCCACGTGGTACGCAACCAACGTAAACAACGTTCACGTCAGAAATGACCATGTTACGGCACAGTCCATACAACACGTCAGCATGGATGCAAATGCCGAGCGTTACCAAGACAACGCGTACTGGGTATTCATGATGGCGTCTACCACCGGGACTGTCACACGTGCCAGGTACCTGTAAGATCCAAAATGGTATTGTGAACTCTATTTAAACCTGATGCAAATGAAATCTTTGCAGTACTTTGCAATCTGCGAAAACTGTGCAAGGCTCTTTTAGTGAAGTATCCGTCGCTACAATTAACACCCTTAAGTTCACAGTTTTTTTTACTTTTTATTTATTTGTTGGTATGGGCATATTATTTCCTTTATTTACTGTCATTGTAGATATAACGTGGGAGATACCACAGCGAGAGGAAGCGACGTGCAACACTGGACAATCCACTGGTTTGTGGACACTCAGAACTGGAAAAAAGTTCTCTCTCATGGCACAGATGGAACCGTAATAGCAGGTAAACTTTGACCCATGACCGAGCAATGTTTCTTCCCATTATCTGTGAATTATTGTTTTATATACTGTAGCGTTGTGAATTCATCCAATGCCGTGACCCGGAAAGGGTAGTATTCATTTGTTTTTAATATTTTCTTGTAAATACGTTTTTTCTTTCTTTCTTGTTTTATTATTATTATTCTTTTCTATTTTCGTGATCCATTGATTTGTATGGAAACCAAACAGACAACCATACCATTAATGACATGCAAATAAATAAACGTTGAAAGATAGTTATAAATAGCAAAATAATAATAATCATAATTATATTACGCAAATGTAAATGATCATGAACAGTGGCTCGCGTAGGTCCTATATACTATAAACGCGCCAATCACTTAATCAATTACCGGATTTGTAACTACTTCATGTTCTAGAATCCATTGTCAAATCTGGTTACGAAGATGTAACTCCAGTATAATTTAAAAAAAAACACTTATTCAAGGCATTATTCATTATTTTCAGGTTCAAGAACTGCACTAACATCAGCTATTAAAGAGGGCGCCTCTGTCCGCTGCGTAATGGCCGATGGCCATTATGCTTTTCCCGCCGAAAACGTTGCGATAAACGGAGATCACGTGGCGGCCCAGACCATCCACAGCATCAGCGTTGCAGTCAGCGGAAGTTCGGAGTACGTCTTGCAGAGCAACCCCTATTGGTGGTTTACCATCGTAACTACTCAAGGCGACCGAAAGATGTCGCGCTGGACGGTCGGGAGTCATCAGTCACGTGGTGACAGTGCTGATAAGGTGGCGATGAATTGGTTTGTTGATGAGTGAATGAACTTCAAGTTACACGTTGTAAGCAACCAGATTCTAAAGTGACCATTCAATTTTCATGTAAGCATTATTTTTACACAAAAGTATGTATAAAAATAAAAGAATGGGAAGCATACTGGACCCCTCAATAAAGTATTATTTGTCGGTATAGCTCTAGAAAAAATAATAAACTGCTATTTTCCAGCCAACATTTCGACAAACTTCATCAGAAAATGAGGTTTGTGTACGGTGCTATAACCTATCCCCATCAGGTGCCCAAATAAACTGTGACTGTAAGCAGTCAAAATATTGGCAAAAAATTGAGTTTACCAACACAGTCAGTTTATCTAAAAGTTAGATAGCCTTGTTTCATTTCGGCATCGATTCTTTTAAAAATTCAAATCCTCACCTAAATCATTTCTTCGAACACAATCCCCAAGTATTCTTTTACAAATAAATATGAAAATTCTCAGACACAAGCCTAAAATTTTCCGTACCGTTAGCTTATTCTTTTACAATTGTTATAATCACCATTAATCATTGTTGGTACTCAATGGCAGTGTGGTCGAACTCAATGCCATCTAGCGGTCTATAATAACTGTATCTTTGTGTGATCTTGAAGTTCGATATTATTCAACAAAACTGTAGGTATAAAAAATAGGTTACAAATTCTATCAAGTAATGGCTTTCAATTGCAAAACACAATTTAGTGTCGTTATAAAGAGAAATAAACTAAACATACCAACATTTGTGTGCATTTATTTTATTTATTAGCAGTTGAATTACAAGACAGAAATAACACGTTTGTTTTATAAATCTCACATTTAATTTTACAAGTGGAATATCGCTAATGAGAGTTAGAGGAGCCCCTTAAAGTTATCCCAGTAAAGCTAGATTTATGCGAACCAGCTGCTGTGCTAAAAGATCAGGATCCTCGTGCACCCTATAAATACTTAACATCAAAAGCAATGATTTTAAAACATTGTAGACCGTCACATATTTTTTTTTTATGCTGCAGAAGAATATCTTGTTGAAACGATAGTTCACTATCATAAACCTAAAGGTCCCAACATATCTGTGTATTCTGGTTCTGGTTCGTTTGAAGTGCTTGTGAATAAACACTACGACAGTAATTGTTTATACCTAGACTTCGGCTAAGAAATTCCTAATATAACTACTGTAGAAGTTCTAACCTCACTACTGGTACTTCCTTAAAGATATCACCAAGAAAAACTATGACAATTAACTATTAGAAACATTGAAGGCAAACCATATTTCAAGGAAGATATTTAAAGAAAAGTTTTAAGAAGCTACTGCGGTCATCTAGTACTTTTATCGTTCATTCGCAGGATGTTTGGGGTTCAGGTTTACGTATTAAGGCACATGGTTTGAAGCATAACATTGTTGTTGTTGGTTGACGGGAGTCCCCTCACTGTACCCTTCTCTGCAAACTCGATGATGTTATAGTTGATGTCATCAACAAGGCTTGTCGACGGAACGCTATAATACCCAGCGTCGCAGAAAACCTGCAACAAGCCCGCGACTGCACCGGCGACGAGAGGGGACGCCATTGACGTCCCATCAGACTCAATCCCACCGTAGTTGTTCGCGTAATCGGCGGCCGTTATTTTCGTCCCTGGAGCGTAAATATCGACGCATGGTCCAATGTTACTAAATGAAGCCACGTAATCATTCATCTGGGTGGCACCAACTGTGAGGGCTCCTTGTACGCTTGCTGGGGTTTTATAACATGCATTGTCCATGTCGTCATTTCCAGCGCTGACTACCACTGGGATGCCTGCATACAATGCTGCGTATACGGCATCATTTACGTAGGATACATACGGACCACTGATTGATATATTAATTACTGATAGACGCTTGTATCGTTGAACCCGTGACTTTATCCAGTAAAGTCCTTCCACCATGTCCGAATAATAGCAACTTCTTTTATCAGCGCATACCTTGACTGGGATGATGTTGACCTCCTTGGCTACTCCATAGGTGGCGCCTCCTAAGGTACTGGCCACATGGGTACCATGGCCATCGTAGTCTCTACTATTTGTAAAACGACTTGCATACCAGCCTGTAATAAAAAAATGTATATAGGCCTCCTTCCTTCTAATTTTGCATTTGTTATCTCTCTCCCCACCCCCTTGTCATGTAATTTCAGTTTAATGTCACATACCTGACGACACTCTTCCTCCGAAGTCACTGTGATAAGGGTTAATTCCAGTGTCCATAACGTATGCGTCTATACCAGAGCCAAGCGCCCAGGTAGCAAAGTTATAATCCCAATAATAATAGTTGATTCTGTCCAAATTCTGAATCAAAAAGAAGATACGTCATTTGAACAGAATCCCTTTCTCCGCCAACTAAGGATATCGTTTTTATAGGCTTCAGTTAGACGGTTAGAGATAGACGGTTAGGAGAAAAAGAATTGATAGCAATATAAAACAATCCAGGTCTTCAACATCAAAATAACAATTCGTTTGTTTTTGCCTATCCTTGGTGGAGATCTGTAGTCTTGTATCTCTTTTTCTTAAAACACCTTTATGCTTAATTAAGATGCCATATAATCATCAGGAGAGAGATTGGAGGAAATGAACAGAGAACAGCTGTTCATAGTCTCTTGATAAGACAAATGAAATATGAAACATTGAAATGTTATACAGGCACATAAAACAAAATATGAATTCTCTTAAACTGACAAAATCTCCACCACAGTCCCCTATAGCTGTTTTAAAATGTTTAATGACCTTCAGCCAATTTGGGAACTAATCGATACAACAGCTAGGAGGGTCCGTGGAAGGGAGTAACAATTACCCATGTCTCATCAGCCCTGAAGTACCCTTCACAATGACTCAGGTCCAGCGAAATTTCTCTATCTTGTCCTCAATGACGTCAGAAAGCTGGCGAAGTTTTTGGAGGTCACTGGTTATAAAGTGAGAAATACTTCAGCAACAGTAAAACATAACACAAATCTGCATCTTGCAGCTGTATCTCATGGGAAAAAAAGCGCTCAGAGTGGTATTGTCATGTTTTTGGTCGCCTCAGGGATCATTTACGGCACACACAAAAAAAAAACAAGCAAAATTGCTCTTCGTCGCAAATTTTGATGGGTGAAGAAAACGGGTTGGTGTGTATTACCATCGTTTCCGCCGATTCAGGATCGCAGCATGCTTTCCTAACTTTGTGATCTTAAGGGCACCCATTCCTGATAATTTTTGTATGTGTCAAATTTTACATTTTCCAAAAATTATGAATATAAAGCAAAATGCGATGCATATTCTAAGCGGAAAGCGTGCTCCCAAGATCGGCGCCATGTTGCCCATGCCCCAGTGTTGTTACCCAGTATCGTGGACGTGCAGATATATATATATCGATAAATTTTAAATGTGATATCTATAAAATCAAATTGGATAAAAATATAAATAAAGATAATATGGACATCGTATTGAAGATAATATAAAACCAAATTCTGAATAACAGTTATTTCGAAAATAAAACAGCCTTTATAATCTCAACCGAAGCTCTTAGCTGATAAGAAATGAGTTGCATATCATACCTAGCACTTATATTCCTAAGTATGACGTAGCTATCTTTCCTGCTAAACTTCACTCTTTTTTGGGAACCTCTCCCTTTCAAGATTCTGCGAACTGAAATGGGTGTAAAATCGATATTGTAATTGTAAATGTAAAATTGGTATATTGAATATATATTGATTATTAGAAAAGTTATAATTAATCGATTCTTGTTAACCCTAGCCCGTTATAATCCTACAGGTATTGGGCTCGACACTTCCATTCCTAGGACTACCATTCCTATCACAAAAGCACTTAAGTATATGTCATAAAAAACACACAGATTAAACAGGTATTAGAAATCATGTGTCTTTACAGACAGACTTAAAAGTTTTCATTTACTTCACTATTGCCAATTAGCATTTTTATATTTCTTTTTTAAAATTTCATTTGTAAAATTCTTCATTTTTTAAATTAATCAATGCAAAAATTGGTGATTGTAATTTCACATGTCGTGACACAAAAATTGCGTTACTTCAGCTTTTTTTTCCAACCAAAGCAGTCGAAAATGGTCTTCCGCATGGTTTTTACACAATGTTTTAGTAGCCCTATACTTTTAAGCAATTCTCATGAAACCCCGCGATATTTTGGTTTACACAGAGAGATTTATATGTATCTCGGTATTTAGGGGATAAAAACAATTCCACAGTAACATTTTGAGGTGGGATCAACTTTTGAACGATAGAAAAAATTGTGTAAATTGTATCCTAGTAGTTTTAGGGAGCAAGAGCCAAAACACATGAGCAAAAAAAAGTTGATATAATAAAATCTAGTATCCATTCTCACACATATGCAGCATACGGTACTAAAGTTTGTTTTGAATGATAGGTAGGCCTCAGGCCCTAAATACTTATCACATAAATGTAGTTAAGACATTTACATTGAGTTCAATGACCCATCAGTTTTTCTTTTTCATCTTTTACAAAACGTAGGTAGTTGGATTTTTAATGCTTTTCAAATCATCGTTGTACACAACGATTAAGCCGAATTTTACTTATTGATATATATATTGCCATATTCATTGGGGTGCACCTACTTTTTCCGTACTTTCCACCAGGCAGAAGACGGGCAATGTACTGATTGGGAACGTTAGAACCATCCTTAGCGGTGATCAGGGGCACTACAAAGAATATTTAGAAGGCATCAAAATGCAACGGCACAAGAAATACGGTTTAACATTGATAAATAGATTACACAAAACAGCACGGTCATTAGAAATGAAAAGTAATAACAAAAACGTTCATAAATATAGAAAATATCAAATACCAGTCATATTAGAAATATAAAGTGATGACTCAAAACTTTGATAAGTAAATGGTATAAAATTCTGAAGCACGAGAAATGCACAATAATGACAGAAGTGTAACAAAACCTCTATCTAATTAATTATATCATATACCAGGTCTTATTCCATATGTAAGGGATAATAATGGAAAATAAATACATACCTTGTAAGTATTTGTAAATATCAGCGACGAAAATGCAATATAATTGATAAATGTATTTATAAATTTTAAATAGTCCAACTGTTTGAAATGCAAAACTGTGCTAAAACCTTTAAAATAAAGGTCAAAGGTCAAGTCCAAGTACATATTTGAAATCTACGCATGTGACTTTCGGGCGGACATCTATAGTAATTTTCCAAAATTCATCGGTTTTGGGAGATATTTAGCATTTAATTGTGCAAATTTCAGACAATGATGCATTGCGACGACAACGGAGCCAGTGGAGCCAACGAAACGGAGACTGAAACCATGTGTACCGCCAGCGCCTTGCCGGTGGTGCAATTATAAACACCTAGTAGTGCTTAATTTAAAGGTGGATTTTCAAAGCGATATGAGGAATTGTGTTTCAAACAGATCCAGTTTTTCTTTTAACTTCTCGCTTTATATAAATTAGCATAGGTATAATGTTTGCAACAGCAACGATAATGGTGACCAAAATATCAAATGAAGAGGCACCGCCCACTCTCCCAGTGTGACAGACTTTGCTTAACTTTGCTGTCAGTTTGAATTAGACTAGTTGAAATATGACAAAAATTTCTTTCACATGACACATGTTTGAAACTTACCTAAACCGTCTTCCTCGGAGATGTCTATCAGCCCTTTTTCCCTCATCATCTTTTTCATTTCTGCGGGATTTTCCTTCTTCATGTTCTTAAGTCTTCGGTTCTTGGGGATTTTTTCCTTCTTCAACTTCAGTCCAGGTGGCATTTTGTCTGTCTCATTGGAATCATTGGCATCATTGGCACCCACCTGCTCTAACGCTAAAAGAGCCAAAAGCATGGAGGCAAGAAACAGAGACAGTTTCATGATTGCGGTTCGTCTCTCAAATCGGCCGTCTCACTGTGGTCAGCTTTGAAGAATGTGTTCAACCTGCACAAATCAAGATCCGTTGATCACTCCTTTCAAGAGGCTCGATATTCGCTTGAGTCCGTTTAAGTTAAAGCTTCGGAAACGACGATTTATGTACACCATTCAAATGTCACCTTGTTAAATAAAGCACGAAAAACGTGTGGTTTCAGTCCATTAAATGACGCGTGGAAGAACCGTAAGTTAGACATGAGGTCATTAAGTGTGTGTCGTGATTAATCTTTTTACAGCTGAGTTACCAATTTTGTTTAAAAATAAATCAAAATAAAATAAAATAGGCGCACACTCCTTTCTGATGGCAGTCTTTCGTTTGAAGGTGGATTTCGATGTTTTTTAACTATCGGTAGGGGCACCAAGTAGTAAACGATTAGATTTGACTGGTTAATTGTTTGTAAGTTTATTTGTTTTCCTACCCTTTAGGAACATTTGCTGAATTGCGTACTGTTTTATTCTTCATCACTCCCGTATATTTTACCCAATCCACTCGGTGCAAATGTTATGAAATGAACAGCTATATTTAAAAAATTTAGAGGACATTTATCCATAGCGTGTCTCCAAGGCGTATCCTTGCAAGGCTAATATGATGAATAAAAAATATCTGCTAAATCTCTATCGAGTACAAAAAAGCCAATGAAATAATGAGTGGATGAATAGGTATAAAGCAATTTGGCCAGATTATCTGATCTAAGCACGTTTAGAGAAAGAAGCAACCTCAGAAAAGAAAAATAATTAATTTTAAGTTATACATTGTACGCTTTATAAGGAAAGGCCATTACATCAATTCGATCTCCATTCAAAACAGAACCATTCTAACTAGAATACGTCTATATCTGCCGATATTGGCATCTTTTCCATTCCCAGGTGGTAATTCTATTGAATGAAAACATCGGGAATTTTCTCAACTTTTATTCTGTTGCAAACTTTTCAAATTACTGAACGCTGCATTAAAATAACGTTTTTGCGTGTTAAAACACATACAGTGAGGTAAGGTTTTAGACGTCAATGTAGTCTACATCATTTGGTATGCATCCTTAGTTTGAGGTAAACTTCCAGACTATACTTACTTAGATCATTAGTTCGTAACGAACCAGCTTGTCTACCACCTGTTATGTGCTGCAAGATCTACTTACGACATACAGGGTATGCTTCCATTCAATATGTATGCTGAGCTGCACCATTTTACAAAAAAAAACTGATTTTCTAAGCCACCCCAGCTATGCTCAAATTGTCTGCTTTGGTCAATTATCCAAGTATCGGATCAATAAATCTCCGAGACGACTTCACCCAAAGTCAATATTCGTATAATACAATTTTTAAACTACTGGTCACCGGATAATTATTGTGTTCTGTGATCAAGTTAAGATGGGCCATCGCCAAATTGTAACAAAAAAGTAAGACCGTAACGCAAATGGCACCATTCCTGTCGCTGTATTTCATATAATTCAGCAGCTAGCTTTCTCTGAAGAACACCAAACTAGAACAAGCTTAAGCTTCACAAGGAATGGCAGCCCAAAGGTGGACCGCCCTGTGCAACAGTTCCCGAGTCACAGTCTTCAGGTAATCTCTTCCGAACTTGACATAAATTATGGAGTCTGCTCACAGCACCAAGAAGAAATTCAGAAAACCAGACATGCCTCCAATGACGCTTTTCGTGACAGTGAAATCGCCGGGTCCATTCCTAACGGCAGTTGTACCTCTGTTGGTTAAAAATACTGTTCCTATGGGTATACCTTGGCCCAGGCCAAGAATCAGGACTCCGCTTTTAACTGGTCCTCTGGAACTGGGGTTTTGTGTGTGTGTGTACATGTGTGTGTGTGTGTGTGTGTGCGTGTTTTTTTTTTTTCACTGCTTGTAAAAGGTCTGATAGCGCTCCTACCGGAGATCCTATCTAGCTGTCTTTTTTGTCTTTTTTTATAAGCCACATTTCTTGCGCCCTTTAATCTACTCTACATAACTCGTATACCAAATATCTCACATTAAGACCACGTTCATCTAAATGTATATACAGTTTATACAAATGACAAGTGAGGTAAAGCCTTTTCATCTTCCATTTTATTTGGTCATTTTGTTGTGCAAAAACCTTTTATTTCAGCAACTTATAGACCCTATGCATGTTTACATGTATGTGTCCAATGCATGAGCAAATAGAAGAGGGGCCCAGAGAGAGAGAGAGAGAGAGAGAGAGAGAGAGAGAGAGAGAGAGAGAGAAGAGTGAGTGTGGACGTGTGCGCAGGCGACAAATTTAAGGACTGAAAGAGTGAGAATGAGAAAGAGAGGGGGAAGGGGATGCTGGCATATTGCAGTAACGGCCTCGGTGAACTTGACACAAACATGTATTTTTAAGGACCCTCTCTCTCCAGTCTTTAACCACAGCAATAACAAAGAACCACGACAGTCCCTCACGTGAATGTTTATACTAGTACATAGTTTAGACTGCAATTGTTATTCTTCCTCTTATCTTTCTCCCCACACTCATTTTACACACTTATCATATTAGCAAAGGACAGAAACGTATCACAACTTCATTTCACAGGTTAAAAGTATCTCCTATTTCTTTTAGCTGACAGGTATTGAATACCTACTTATCAGTAGGGCACGTTTTGGATCATGACTTTGTCTTTTAAAATGTTGATACATATACATGCAGTTGTCTGTAAATCCTTGGACCAAGGACGCCTTCAACTTCCTTGCTTAGACATAACAACGAATATGCCCAAGGTTTATATAATCCAACTATTGACAACACTTAATTTATATCTCATATAATAACCACGTTAACTGATCTCAAATGATTGATTTATTGTACATGTATAATGCCTGTGACATTTCGAAATGAAACGATTACTTATAAAATACATTACCGGTAGTATACTGTCTGTACCGGTATATAGAACCTTAAGTCGTAATAAGATAAGAATGAACATTAAAAGAAAACATCATATTTCTTTGGCTGATAAACTTTTGGTATGGGTCGAGTTTCTTCCTTCAGCGGTGCATGTTATACACTCGTCATCAAATTAGATGGCAGTAATTGTTAGACGTATTTCCAGGTACGCTGTATTCTTGGAAGAACTTTACAGCAGTTATAAGGAAAATTATTGAAGTACTAGATACAACACGAGTCGTCCACTGTTGCGACATACAATAGCGTCATTATATCGAGGCGCAGACGAGATATAATTACCTCCGCCAAGGAGGTTATGTTTTCACCCCTGTTTGTCTGTCATCAACATAACTCAAAAAGTTATGGACCGATTTTGATGAAATTTTCAGGAACTGTCAGAAGTGGGCCAAGGAAGAGATGAATAGTTTTTGGTAGTGATCCGGATCAATTATCAATCAATAATAATCAAAAATTGCTGCCTTGGCGGAGATCTGCGCTCTCGGAGTGCTTTTCTAGTTCTCTCTTGTATGTCGCATACAGTGGACGACGAGTTGTTGTAAGTGACTTATACTACCCTCTACCAGGGCCGCTGTTATTATTGTGGACATTTTTGGCTGACAGCAGACCAAAATGACTGTCTATTTATCTAGAGTCATATCTATGAATATAAGTGAAAAATCAATCTGTCGCCCTGGTAGAGGGTTGACTTATACCACGGCTGGCGCTTTGAACAATAGGAAGAACGCACCGAAACGTATGAAAATAAAGGCAAACCTGTATGCGAAATACAAGCCCATTGTCCTATTGTTCGAAGCGCCAGTCGCGGTATTATCATTCTTCCAAGAAAGCCAAACAAACGCACCTTTAGATAAAAAGATGACTGAAAACTGATCCACATGAATTGTAAGGTTTACTTTACTTTTATTGAGGTTGAGGAGCCGGGTGAATCTATTAGCTCATCTAATGCAATGGCCATTCATTTGCATAAATGACAACTTTTCATTCAGGGTGGTGCACCATGAGTTTGCACTTTATTTCATTCAGCACAGTGTCTCCGTTGAAGGAACACATAGTATATTCTTCTTTTTTTGATTAGTTATTTACACTTTTGCTACTTGAAATTTATAGTTAAAGGAATGGCAGAAATGGTGAGTTTTTTTTAAATACGCACTGTTTATTGATAATTATTGATTATTGAAAATTATCAGTTTTTGTGTAAGTAAATTTAAACACGTAAATAACGGGTAGTGAGCGTATTTTTGTAATTTTCTTTTTTTTTTTTTCCTCTTTTTAGTTTTTACGTGTCTTGTGAATTTCTACGTGGTCCAAATAATTTCTACAAGGTCTAGTAAACAACTTATGCTTTTCCTTGACTTATCTATATAGCCCTTGCGTGCTATATGAATAATAATTATGACTGCCCCCCCCNTTTCATGTACGTCCGCCATTTTTAGGTCACCGGCTTTGTAAAGCCTGGCTTAATTCGTTGAGAATGCGCTCATAGAAGTCAGTTAGAACAAATTACAGATCCATGGATCAAATATGGCGACCCAGCAATGCCGACCAATCCCTTGGTGGTCTCCCCGCCTCCACACGCACCGTCCCTGCAATATGGCCTAGACATTACACATCGGAGATGAAATGTAATCATTTTAATGACGCGTGTGGAGGCGGGGTGGGCATCAGGGGATTGGGCAGCCTGCTTTTAAGTGGGGTTGGCCAAATTAAATCCGCGGATCATCTGTTCTGAATGCGACCTTAGTTGTGTTACAAACCTCACAAAGGAGTAAAGATTAATTCAGTTTAGGAATCTGTGTTAAATAGGGATTCTGATGCTGGGTAGAAACATAAATCGTTTACTTTCCGTAGAAACCTAAAGCCTACAATGGCTTGGTGACAGGTTTGAAAAAGGCTATGAGCTGGATGGCCAAACGGCCACTCATGTCAGACACTGTGTTAGTTGTACTCCTTTACTAAACTGTTGCTTGTAAAGTGACGGAAATGGGAAGGATCTATTGTGTACAATGTAGCTCTGTTGTGGCGATAAAAACATCAT